TCTTTAATATTTGGTTTAGTTAATAATAATTATTATTATTGTTATTCATTCATTCATTTTCTTTTCAGCTTAGTCCCTTTATTGATCCGGGGTCGCCACAGTGGAATGAACCGCCAACTTATCCAGAACGTTTTTAAGCAGCGGATACCCTTCCAGCCGCAACCCATCTCTGGGAAACATCCACACACACTCATTTACACTTATACACTACGAACAATTTAGCCTACCCAATTCACCTGTACCGCATGTCTTTGGACTGTGGGGGAAACCGGAGCACCCGGAGGAAACCCACGTGAACGCAGGGAGAACATGCAAACTCCACACTACCTCGGCTGGGTCAGTTGGCGTTTCTGTGTGGAGTTTGCATGTTCTGCCTGCGTTCACGTGGGTTTCCTCCAGGTTCTCCGCTTTCCCCCACAGTCCAAAGTGGTACAGGTGAATTGGGTAGACTAAATTGTCCATAGTGTATGTGAATGAATGAGTATGTATGGATTTTTCCCAGAGATGGGTTGCAGGTGGAAGTGCATCGAAATGAATGAATATGTAGTGTTGAGACAGGAATACATCGTGAACAGAGAGAAAGGGGAAGGATAGAGGAAGTACCTCAAGCCGGACCTGAACTCGCTAGATGTTCACTGTGTGCACCTCAGTGCTATATGTTGGCGCACTTTAGCACTATGTTATTGGTGCCGACTTGCATTAACTAAGTGATTCATTTTATATATAATTTTATTATATGGATGTATTTGTAATTTTAAATAAAAAAAAAGAAATTATGGTTAGTGATTGGTTAAAAAGGAGCAGTTTTGCATTCAAAATGAACAACCAACTTTTTGTGGTAAAAGTATTTGCCCCTCGTGCTATTGTATGATGCTGCTGAGGAGTAGAGGATGTCTGCAGCACACAATAATAATAATAATAATACATTTTATTTCAAGGCGTCTTTCTAGCAACTCAAGAACACTGTACAATCAACAAGAATAATTAAACAACAAGAGAAATAATACAATACACACAGCAATAGTGCAAATAAAATTAAGTATTAAAAGCCATCTTAAATAAGTGGGTTTTGAGTTTTGATTTGAACAGTGTAAGGGAGTCAATGTTTCTGATGGCAGGTGGTAGTGAGTTCTAAAGTCGCGGAGCAGAGCGGCTGAATGCTCTGTTGCCCATAATTGAAAGGCGAGAAGAGGGAACAGACAAGTGGAGGGAGGAAGAAGATCGCAGGGTGCGAGAAGGAACAGAAATGTGGATGAGGGCAGACAAATATGGAGGGGCGAGATTGTGGTTGGCTTTGAATGTTAACATTAAGATTTTAAAGTCAATTCGAAAATGAACAGGTAACCCGTGAAGCTGCTGCAGGACTGGGGTGATGTTGCATGCAATGATGATGCATGTCCATCAGAAATTATGTGAAATTCACATGAATTTCTAGATAACCGTTAAGACTGTGGCCAAAATGCAAAGCATCAGTTCTGTATCATATATAATATGACATATGAAAGTGGCAAAAATCGGAATTGAAAAGATCAGATTCCATGTGGTTTGAGCTGTTCTCACAGTCATGACAAAAACAGATCTGAGTTACACGTGGGGGGAAAGAAAATAATTTGTGCCACATTTGCCTGCAGTGTGTATGTAGCCTAAGAGTGTAATCAGATTAGTCTCAAAAGAAATTCACGCAAAAAGACATGATGTACACATGCGTAGCCAAATTCACGTGCATAAAACCAAATTCACGTGCGTAAAATCTTTATTTATATTCACAAAAAAATTTCACGTGCACAAAATAAAAATTCATTTTCATAAAATACGTTTCACAATTTGGTTTTATGCACGTGAATTTGGCTATGCATGTGTACATCATGTCTTTTGCATGAATTATTATTGAGTCTAATCTGTCTCCATACATCTTAACCTAAATAATTATATAACCACCCCAAAACACACACACAAACAGAAACCTGCTATACTTGTGGTAATCATCTGTTCATTTACAGTTGTTCGTTTGAACAGAAATTGTTGACAGCATGTGCTTCACATGTATTTTTATGTTTAGCTATGCTTTTGCGTTACATTATTGGACTGAGTTTTGATGTAGAAAATGAAACCCTGGATTTTCAGAAAGTGATTATTATTGATATTTTTAATAATGTAAAATAGCTTTGGGTTGGTCATTTAAATCATGTTACAAAAACAAGATAATGTCCAGCAAAAAATTATTTTAGAATTTATGATTTATGAGCATTCTTATAGAATATTTCACATGGTAACACATGCAGTACACTGTGCAGACCTCTGCTCTTTAAGGCCCCGTTTACACTAGTGCGTTTTAGTTTTAAAACCGTTTTAAAACTAAAACATTTAAAACGGCTTTTTAGATCAAAAACGATCCGCATCCACACTAGCGTTTTACCTAGCGTCTCTGAACATATCTCCGTCCACACTACGCCACCAAAAACGTATATCACGTGACCAGTCGCGCACTCTGGGATATGGGAAAATAAGGGATATGCCCACCATAATAAGGGATTATTACCCCCCCCCCCCCCCCAACAAATATTACTAAATATGTTCATTTGTAGCTGTTTTATTGTAATTAATCAAACAGTTAAATGGTCAGTACTGTTTTAAAATTATTACTAACAAAAGAAAAATAAATATATACATTAGCAGCAAATACATTAGCAAACAGTTCAGCTTATTAAAATTAATAGCTATTATAATGAAATAGAATGAAGCTATCAATCTCATTAGCCGTTTCTCCACTGTAAAACTTACAAATTCTGATTAATGAGCAACAAATGCATCTATCATTTATTAAGATTTTTTTATTTCATTAAATAAGAGGTGTCACTTTAAAAATGCACACATCTAACAATATAATGAAAGCATTCGACTGCTTTCTTTACTTTTTATGCTCATTTAAGACGAAATTAGTTGTGTTTGGGAAAAAACCCTGCCAAGATCAACATCCTTATGTTATTATTATTAATTATGTGCGTATGTCTGTTTAAACACACACCCAAAAGACAGACTTTCTCTCTGCTTCAAATCACGTGTACAGAATCCGTTTGGGAAACAGCATCTATTTATCACTATGGAGCACGTCAGCTGACAGTCATGCACCATTATATGACTGTTTTGAGGATTGTATAGGATGGGTGACGGCACCTGTAATCAAAAGAAAATGGAATCGCGCCGTTTGTATTATTTACTTAAAAGTGTTTTCACTCCTAAACAACGCGAAAGCACAGAAAACTCACGTTTTAGAGCAAACGGCGACCCCTGGTGGTTCGGCGCTATGGGTATAGGGAGGCTCGGCTGTTCAGAGAAGGACTAAAAATTCGGGAGAAATACAGTAAAATACCTTTACGGGATGATAGCAGGATAGAACAGTAATATACGGGAGAATCCCAGGAAAAACGGGAGGGTTGACAGGTATGCATGTGTTATAGTCATGTGATAGAGGCTTGACGAATAAGGGAAGGATACAGTGACGAAGGCAATGACACAAAAGCCCCAATCAGGCAGCGAATCTCAGCAGTACCGCCTCCATTTTCAGATGTCTCCGTTTTTCCTCATCCACACTAAGATGGAGCAGCAGCATTTCAGAATGAAAACGGCCTCTCCAGCGTTTTCAAAACGCTCCGTTTTCGGCGCTCGAGAACTCCGGCGTAGTGTGGACGGATGGCGTAACCGTAGCAAAACTTATGCGTTTTAAAACAAAAATGCATTAGTGTAAACGGGGCCTAACTGAGGTTGATCCAATTTGCATCTTTTTGACTATAAAAAAAATTATTCTTTCTAACAGGCTACCGTATGCATACTACAATGTTCAGCTATGTAGGTGCAAACACTGAGGTTGTGAACTGATAAAGCCTGTTTGTTCTTTCCCATATTTAACCCTTGAATCAAGACTCATTACTGCAGCACTGTAAAACCCAAAAACTTAAGGCAAATCAAACCATTTGAGGAAACCGATCGCTACAAACCATTTCAGTTCAAAAACTAATCCTAATGAGTACTGAACTTACTCCATTTGAATAAACAAAGCAATTTGAGCACAGTAAAACCCAATAAATGAAGAGAACTCAAACCAACTGAGTACTGTAAAACCCAATAAATTAAGGCAACTTAAACCATTTGAGGAAACCGATTGCAAACCATTTGCGTTAAAAAACACTAATCTATATGAGTACTGTGAACTTACTCCATCTGAGTTGAAGTAATGGGGTGTTTAACTTATTACCATCAACATTGAGTTCAAAACTCTTTTCAAATAAGTAGAATTAACTTTTAGTCAATTTTGAGTTCACTACACTCATTTCATTAGATAAAGTTCACTGTTGGGCTTTACAGCGAGGCACTTTGTGTTTGGTCATCGATCCTCTGCTTTCTGCATAGTTCAAAGACTGGTTTTGCTGCTTCATAATTGTAATAAAGCAATCAGAACAGAGGTGCTTACTGCACTCAAGAATCATCCTGGCAACTGCATATGAGTGCGCATGAAATGAACACAGACTGTGCTGGGTTTTATCTCTAGTAGTCATTCAGGAAGGGAGCGAACAAAGAATGCAGGAAAAGTACTGAGGGAGGGAGAGGGAGAGAGAGAGAGGGATAGAGAGAAAGAGAGAGAGAAGGATGTTTCAGGGATGTCACAGATGAGCGGTGGACATTAAGCCTTTATTTGCAGTTGGACTCTGAGTTTGTTACTCCGCCCTTAAGAAGTTTATTCGCCAGAACATGAATTTGCTTTACAGCCACAAGAGGACAGAGGGATGAAGAACAATGCAAAGTGGGCGGTTTACTTTCAGAAGAGTTTGGTTTGGAAGAGAAAGAGAGCGAAAGAAAGAGAAAGAGACAGATAATGCTGAGGGGTGGAAGGAAGTCTGAGATCAGCTCACCAAACACATCTTAAGAGGGCTGTCTAGGACGTCTCAAGAACACTGTGAAGACAGACTGAAGGATATATTGCATCTGTGGAGACTTCTCTTTCAATGACTAGGATGAAATCTGCAATAAAGAAAACTTTTTCAAACTTCTTCTTTGAATATGAGACTCCTCGGGAGGTTCTGGTCAAGAACAGAAGGGTTGCAATAGTGTGCAGAATCATCCAACTAGGCGTTTTAGCCTACATCATTGGGTAAGAGATCCCTTTCATATTTAAGAAAAAGAACAACAGACAAAAAACGAGGGTGCACGAGAAACTGAACAGAGCATGTTTTAACAAGAGCAGAAAAATGTACAGCATGTAAACATACTGTACAACCTCATATTGAACTGAGCTACAGTACTGAGGTTTTGGGGTAATGCTTTGTGTAATCTAACACTTCATCAGCATCCCACTGTTCTTTCAAGTATCACACTTGCGTTTCTGCGGGAAATTAGTAGAGACTGAGATATATTTTTGGAGCTCAGTTTATTTTTCATTGCGTCCAAACTAGTTTTAATGGCGTGTATAATCGATAACATGTCTATTCATAGAGCTAACAGCTGGTCCTCAGCATGTATTAGATAACTGGCATCTGTGTGTAAAAGATTTACTCATTATACGGACATGTTTAGAAAAGTAAATATTCGTCTGAACGGTAAAATGTCACGCTATGGTTTTTTATGGCGGGACAAAAAACAGACTTGGAGAGATGTTTTCCTTTGCAGCAGTCAAGTCCAGACGAATGTTAAGCATTTCCTAGGAACTTTAAACCTGTGTTGTAAAATCCACTGATTACTTGTAGACATGTGGGTGTCATTTGCCATAGGGTCTAAAATACAACCCCAAATCAGAAAAAGTTGGGACAGCATGGAAAGTGCAAATAAAAAAAAAGAAAGTAGTGATTTCTAAATTTACTTTGACTTGAATTTCATTGTTCTCCCTGCTTTCGCGTGGATTTCCTCCAGGTGATCCGGTTTCCCCCACAGTCCAAAGACATGCGGTACAGGTGAATTGGGTAGGCTAAATTGTCTGTAGTGTATGAGTGTGAATGCGTGTGTGTGGATGTTTCCCAGAGATGGGTTGCGGCTGGAAGGGCATCCGCTGCAAAAAACCTGCAGTATAAGTTGGCGGTTCATTCCGCTGAGGCTACCCCGGAATAATAAAGGGACTAAGCTAAAAAGAAAAATGAATGAATGAATGTATTTCTTTGCAGACAATACAAACAACATTACTTAATGTGTGCTTCATAATTTTTATTTTTAATTCTATTTTTTTAAATTAACAGGTATTCCAATTTTGGTTCTTGCAACACATTTAAAGAAAAGTTGGGACAGGAGCAGTTTAGGGCTAGTATTCAGGTTAATTGGTTAAATAATGATGTGATTTGAGATCAACAGATGATTGCAATTATGATTTGGTACAAAAGCAGCTAAAAAATGTCTAGTCCTTTAGAAGCAAAGATGGGCTGTGGATCGCCAGTTTGCCAAAAAAATATGTGAGAAAATTATTAAAATGTTTAAAAACAATGTTCCTCAAAGACAGAAAGGTAGACATTCGGATATTTCACCTTCAGCAGTGCATAACATTGTTAAAAGATTGACGGAATCTGGAGGAATTTCAGTGCATAAAGACATGAGTGTAAGCCTTAGCTGAACTCCCATGATCTCTGATCCCCCAGGCGGCACTGAATCAAGAATCGTCATTCATCTATAAGCGATATCACCACATGGGCTCAGGACTACTTTGGCAAACCTTTGTCAAGTACCACAATACATAGTTAAATTCACAAATGGTAGTTAAAACTGTACTGTGCCAAAAGGAAGCCCTATGTTAACAGTGTCCAGAAGCGCTGTCGACTTCTCTGGTCTCAGAGGCATCTGGGAACACAGTGGAAATGTGTACTGTGGTCAGGTGATTCAGTATTTCAAGTATTTTAGGGGGGGAAATGGATGCTGTGTGCTCTGGACCAAAGAAGAAAAGGATCATCCATACAGTTACCAGCGACAAGTCTTTTAGCCAGGGTCTGTCATGGTATGGGGCAGTCCCCTTGGTAATGCTTTCTGTAATACACTTCATTACTTAGTGTCTTAAGTCCCTAAAAGTATTTTAAGTGTTTTGAAAAGAAATGGAAACATTACAAAGTGGTAAATGTTTTTTTTTTTTAAATGTGCTGCAACAAGGACCAAAATTGGAATATGTGTTTATTTTGAAACAAAAACAATAAAAATCACGAGCGACACATTAAATATTGTTTGTTGTGTTGTCTGCAATGAAATACAAATCAAAGTAAATATAGAAATCACTTTCTTTTTTTATTTGCATTTTTCTATACTGTCACAACATGTTTTGATTTTTATTACCATAAATATCCATTTATGGTACTTTGTTATAATATTATAAAAATTCTTAGTATTTCACGAGTTCACAGCTACCTATTATTAGAAAGACTGTTGTGTGTATTTTATTGGGGTGTCTAAAGGGAGGCAACTATTCTAAGAAATTTAAGTCATTTCCCTGAAGTATACACCCCTTTACCAATTCAACTCTTCAATCGTTCACACCTCCTACTCAGGGTGAGATAAGTGTTATGTGATTGAGGTGGGGAAGGGATGCTGTCAACAGTAGTATGCTGGTACAACAAAATTTAGCAAAACATAAAAACTGTAAACTTTGGGTAGCAGGGTTTCTGAAAAAAAAACCCATAAAATAACGGGTACGTTCAATTACAGAAAGTTCACTTAATTAAAAAAAAACACATACTTTTGCAGTTATTTTACATTACATTTTTTGTATTTTCTTGAGCTTTTATTATTCAGTAAGGAACTGTACATAAATATTGTGGAAAAATATGTCAATTTTAAATTATGAATTTTAAACACTGCTATAATTACAAAAACTAGTCGTAAGTGACAATAAATATAGCTTTAACACATGTATAGCTTTCAGTAGAAAACATATAAAGCTTTGTAAATGTGCAGGCATTTTTTGAAACAATCAACTGTAAATATTAAAAGCTTTAAAGGATTTAAGATGCTGATTACCACTGAAATGCATCAGTACCTCCTTCTGAAAAGGGTCTAAATTCTTTGACACTGTTCTCTCTTCTGGTTGGTGTTACTATTTTTTTGTGTTTTTTTTAACTTTCCTTCAGCTTAGTCCCTTATTTATCAGAGGTCGCCACATCGGAATAAAGCGCCAACTTATCCAGCATGTTTTACGCATCAGATGCCTTTCCAGCCACAACCCAGTACTAGGAAACACCCATACTCTAACATTCACACTCATACACTTTACACAGACATTTTAATTAATCCAATTCACCTTTAGTGTATGTCTATCGACTTTGGGTTAAAACGGAGCACTCGGAGGAAACCCATGTGAACACAGGTACAACATGCAAACTCACACAAATGCCAAGTGGTCCAACCGGGACTCAAACTTGCGACCTTCTTGCTGTGAGGCGACAGTGCTAACCACTCATAAAGTTATGAAAAACTATCATGGAGGTTTTTTTTTGTTATTAAGTACATTGAAATGCAATAAAAATGAAATCACTGCTCTCTAAGTTTACCCAACTATGATGACTTCACTGCTAAGAAACTCGAAAATATGAAAAGGGTCCATAGCGTCAATAAACAATAAAAGTGTTTACTATTAGTAAATAGTATGGTAATAAATACTGTTCTAAGTTTGTGACACTGTCAGTAATTTTTGCAGATTTCACACTCAAGTTGTATATCAATCCATTCATAATCCGATTCAATAAGATCGAAATCTTGTTGATTAGTAACTTTTGGACAGACCGCGATCTTGATGTGGTCTTTCTTGATGTGGTCTTCCCTGCTTTCGATCTCTGGGTTCATCTTTAAAAGGTACCTGCTCAATACAAAAAAAAAAAATCCTTAGCAATAAAAAAATAACTATATCATTTATTCATTCATTCAGCAGAATGAACCGCCTACCTATCCAGCACACAGTATGTTTTACACAGTGGTTGTCCTTCTAGCTGCAACCCAGAATTGGGAAACATCCATTCACACTCATTCACACACATCCACTACGACCAATTTAGTTTATCCAATTCACCTTTACCGTATGTCTTTGGACTGTGGGGGAAACTGGAGCACCTGGAGGAAACCCACATAAACACAGGGAGAACATGCAAACTCGGCATAGAAATGCCAACTGGTCCATCTGGGACTCAAACCACTGACCCATTGTGTTGCCCATGGACTATATCATGCTCTAAAAAACAATTTGAATAAAAGCAGAAAAAAGGGACAAAAGCTTGTGGAGGTTGTTAAAACGTGTGTGAGAGGATGTGATATGTGCGAAACAGACTGAGAAGATTATAAGAGCTTGAGTGTAGTGTGAATGTGTGTTTGAGTATGATTATGTGAGTGTGAGGATTTGCTTGTAAGGGTGTGTACAAATGTGAGAATGCATTTATGAGTGTGTAAGTGTGAGGATGTGTGTGTGTGGGTGTGGGTGTGAAGATTTGTTTGTTTGTAGGTCTGAGTTTGAGAGAAAGTATGTTATTGTGAATGTGAGAATTTGTTTGTGAGAGTGTGAGTATGTGTGTGTGTGTGTGTGTGTCTACTTGGGGCAGTTTGTGAGAGGATGCATGTATGAGAGCGAGTCTGTGCGAGCATTTTTTTTTTACTTTTGCATAAACTCTGGCGTTGCATCTTGGTTTCCTGGTTATGAAATGTCTAAAGCAGTAGTTTGAGGCAAACATCAACTTCTGAGCATCACTGGGGACGGTGATAGCTGTTACCTATGACTTGGTTGACAGAAAATAAACAAAATTATCTGTGGTCAAACGGGAACTTCCCGCAAATTTTCTAAAGTTTACCTTTAAAAACATTCAAACGTACCACACAAATTATGCAGGGTTTACTTTGACGTACTTTGACGAGTCCACTTCAGAGGGCAAGATTTACTCATAAACATTATGTAAAATTTGGTCCTATATTTTCTTTTATGGAAATGTGGTTAGCACAATCGCCTCACAGCAAGAAGGTCGCTGGTTCGAGCCTCGGCTGGGTCAGTTGGCATTTCTGTGTGGAGTTTGCATGTTCTCCCCATGTTGGCAAGAGTTTCCTCAGGGTGCTCCGGTTTTCCCCACAGTCCAAAGACATGTGCAGGTGAATTCATTTATTTATTCATTAGTCCCTTTATTAATCTGGGGTCGCCTCAGTGGAATGAACCACCAACTTATCCAGCACGTTTTTACGTTACTGGGTTACAGCTGGAAGAGCATCCGCTGCATAAAACATAAAGTGACAGTTAGAGGAGCGTGGTTTAATATGTTAACCACACCCAATACTTCAGACAGATGTACTTTGAGAATTTAAATGAAAACAAATAGGAAGTTAATTTTCAGATTTCAGTTTGAAATTATGAGAGCAGACAATTTTCTTTTTTTTTAATGATGTGCACAGATGAATTGTTTACCACAAAATGAGCAATGTGAGAAAACAATCATTCATGGTGGAGGATGTGTAAAATCTAATCAATCAGATCTTTATGACTGTTACAGAGAAGTGACCGTTCGATCAGAGTTTGAGCAAAAAAAAAAAAAAAACAGCACGAAAGCAGAAATTGGCTCCTATCATGAATTTACCATTATAACAGTAAGCATGTGATTCATTCACTTCATTCAATTCCGTCTCGAAACTCATATTCATATAACACAGCTGTCTTATTGTTATTGATGATTTTAATTAACATTGGCATGCAAAACAGCATTCCTAAAAATAAAAAAAAAATCAATTTGTAGGCAGAAGCAAAATTAACTTAACAGGGTTTTCTGAACAGCTGATGAGGCAGTCATGCCCAGCAGTTTTTATCCATATAATCCACATATACAGTTATCACTTTTTATACCTCTAAACCTAACCCTCACAGAAAACCTGTGACAATTAAAAAAAACTGTTAAATATGATTTTAAACAGTTTTAATTACAAGGACATGTCCTCATAAATCACCTCAGCATTGTAATACCTAGGTTATACCCATATCATTATACAAATTAGTGTCCCCATATACCACATAAACATGCACAGATATATACTGTACACTAGATATTGCATTCGGACCTTGGGCATGTTTCAATACCACCGCCACATTTGTACTTTCCTTTTTAAAGTCATTCAACCATACTAGTAAAGATTAAAGCCAATCTGAAGATGCTTTAGCGCTGTGTACAGGTGTAGTAAAAAGCAAACAAAGAAAACAAAGCATAAAGGCAGAACATTTCATAGTGAAGTAACGGCTAATTTTTGAGGTAACTTATAGGGGTGCCTGATACCATAACAGTGTCTGCGCTTTAATGTGCATAGATCTACTTTCCTTCCTAAATTATTAAATATTACAAATATTTTATACCATTTAGATTAGAAAGGTGAATATCGATGTTCACAAGAGTCGTTCATAATGGAGATTCGTTCACAAACAAAAAAGCTCCTTCCGTTAGAATTAGAAGTGAAAGCACAAGAAGGGGTGTGTTTCAGGACATGGATTAGATCAAACTTAACAGGAAGGGATGATAATACATTTCCATGCACATAAACACATGCTGTTTGTCGGCAATGCCCGTGCTGTCACTTATTCATCAATGTAGTACGGTAATGTGAAATTATCATTTTCGTAATTGAAAAAATATTTGCGTACTGACCACCGAGAAAACTCTTGATCATAGATATATGTATATATGCTTATATATCTCTGGCTCTGGATGCCTGGTCCTCCACTGCACCTTGGTATCACATTCATTTCAAATAAGTGCTTCCCTTTAATAAAATGGCGGCTCTATTAATGCTTTCCTTCGAATAGACAACAATAGCGTAGGCAACATCTAATATAAATATCTATGATGAAACCAAAAGAATGTCCACACAAGGTGAGGATTTACTTGTCTTGCTTTACTTGTGGGTATTTGGTCCCCACAATGTAAGCAAATCAATTAATCTTTATCATTATGCCTATAGTGCTTTTTTACAGTGTAAATTATCTATCTATATATATGAAAGTATTACAGCGTTTTGTAAACATTTATTATTACCATATGTTGAGCCTCCCCATATAGTTTGAAATAGCGCTTTAGACCCAAAAGCCACTTCGCATGACTTTACACTTAACAAGCAGATAAAGAGATATTTCACTTAAAAGGAAAATATTTGCAACATTTCTTTACTGTTGAACACAAAAGAATATATTTTAAAGAATGTAAAAAAATATGGACGTCAACGGCTACCGGCTTCCAACATCATTCAAAACATCCCCTTTTGTGTTTAACAAAGAAAAAAATCTTAAAAAGGTTTGGAACAACTGAAGGATGATTAAATAATTACATTTTCATTTTTGGGTGAACTGTCCCTTTAATGTCAGAGTAATCATCGAACAAATGAAGAGTTGTGTTGCCCTCTCATCCTTTAACTATAGTTTTGTCACAACCAGCGATCGCTTCCCAGAGGATCGCTGGTTCTCACACGAACTCTCATGACTACATTTCCGCATTTCCCAGGACTACATTTTCATACACGCACTGCTCCCAAACACGCATGCCTGCTCATTCATCTATCCTGATTGCAATCACCAGCTGGACCTTGTTCACAGACTGATATCACTCCATTCATAAGCCACTCTTTGACGCTTCCAGTTTGCCGAGTCTTGTTTACCCAGTGTGACATTACAACGCGTTTCCCTGTCTTGTTTCTCCGTGTCTCGATCCTAGCCTTGTACCCTTGTTATCCTGTTTAGCCGCCTGCCTTTCGACCTTTTGCCTGTTTAAACGTTTATGATTCTGGACTGCCTATATATACCCGTTTGCACCTGATGACCACCGCTTGCCTGACATTGAATAAACTGCATATTGGATCTTACCTCCTGTTGTCCTCTGTCACTCCAACCCCGTCGTAACAAGTTTAAAGCAGACTATCTTTATTGATTCAAATACGGTTTTAGTTTAGTACAGCAGACAGAAAAAGATATTTGTTTAGGTATTTAAAGCTAAAAACAGATTAAACAATATAAATCTGCAAGTCATCTTCCAATAGCAAGTGGATAATTGTATTGTTTGTCATGTGGGAAGTTGTTTGGGCTTACAGAAAAGTTAGTGGAATGAAAAACACTGCAGACTACTTTTCCATTTGGTCTGTCTGGAGGTGTGTAAAGTACCAGCTTTAGATTGGCCAGATGATAAGGCTGAAGAGTAACGTTTGTCATGTCTTGCTAGAGGGCATGAGGCCAAAACCTTATTGCTTCATCCTACTTTTATATGACGCAAGATGTTCAACTATCTGTGAACGTGTACACATTCTGAAATGCAAACTATAAAACAAAGTCTTATGATGTTTACAGTAAATGTTTTTCGACTGCTGTTTAATAGACCACATCACGAGGATAAAGTACATGCTTAAAACATATCTCTGAAAAAGATCTCTGCCTAAATATATTTGCACTGTTATTGGGTGAAACCGAAGTAAATTCAGAAAGGGAAAACATGCTTTGTTACATAGCACTGTCATCTGCTGTTGACAGAAGCTCAATATTGACAAAGTGTGTGTAGTTGGTAATAGAAATAAACTGTAAAAAAATAAAATAAATGTTTTATATAATTATGATAAGATTAATTAAGGTGAAATGAACATAATTTTGCATATTTGTTTTTAAAACAAGAACATGTTAGTGGACAATTTACCTTTTCATCAGCATCAAAAAGTCAGTAAACTTTAACAATTTGCAACCTGTCTTTCTTTCATGGCTGTTATGAAATCTTATGCAATTGGGTAACAGATAATATTTAAATTTAAAATATTAGATATCATGGTAATGAGATTATATTAAATGCAGTCTGGCACCCAGGCTACTGAATAAAGTGAAATCTATAATTATACTATTCTATATTCCATTAAAAAAAAAAAATATATATATATATATATATATATATATATATATATATATAGAATAGTATAATTATATATATAAAATAATTTTTTTTTCCCAAACTACTTATATAAAATAAGCTGTAACTACACAATTCTTGAGATTTGGGACAACTTAATTGTTTCATGTTCTATTCATTTAAATTTGTTAAGTTAAGGTTATTTGTGTTGGGACAACATGAATGAATTGTGTGGAGCCCTGCAATTTTTACATTATACCTCAAATTGTATTGGAGCATGATAATATTTGATGAATGATGTTCATGAATTGTATTTTTTGCTTTGTCAGGTGGGTGTTCATGTATGAGAAAGGCTACCAGACGGTGGACAATGCCATCGGCTCAGTCTTCACCAAGATGAAGGGAGTGTCCTTCACTAATATCAGTGGACAGGAGCGGATATGGGATGTAGCCGATTATGTGTTTCCTGAACAGGTGGGTTGTGTCTTAAAGAATGCTAAATAAGACCCTTATTGCTTGGCTGGGATTTTGTAAAGCCCTTTGAAGCGGCACTATTTTAAATGTATGTATGATTTTAAAAATGTACGATTTAAAAAGGAACTCAGCACCCAACCCTACCCCAATACCCAATTCATATGAATTAGCCACTAAATTAAAAAGTTACGAATTGCCGTGAGAATGTGTTTCAAGAAACATGTTTCCATGTTGTAAAAAAAACCCATTCATTCATTCATTCATTCACTCATTTTCTTTTTGACTTAGTCTATTTATTAATCAGGGGTTGACACAGCGGAATGAACCACCAACTTATCCAGCATATGTTTTTTGCAAGCTGCAACCCATTATTGGGAAACACCCATAGACTCTAATTCATACACATACAGTACACTATGGACAATTTTGCTTACCCAATTCCCCTATAGCACATGTCTTTGAACTGTGAGAACACCCGGAGAAAACCCATGTGAACTCCATACAGAAATGCCAACTGGTCCAGCGCGAGGCTCAAACCATCCACCTTCTTGCTATGAGGTGACAGCGCAACCCGATGCGTCACTGTGCTGCCACGTAAAATAAAACCTTTAAATTTAACTGACGTTAAATTTCTTTTTGACTACATAAAAAAGACATTAACATCATGGATGTTAAAAACATGAGGAAATTATGAGGAAATTTAATTCTGTAAGTAAACTAATTCTTTAAATGTCCTTTTTTTTTCTTCTTTATGACTCTCAGAAATGTTTTTCACACAGTCATAGGGCCTTATCATACACCTCGCGCAATGTGGCGCAAGGTGCGAGGCAAATTGTTGTAGTTTCAGCTTGGCGTAAGAGTCGTTTTGACGTTTTGCGCTTCGCTATTTAAATAGCAAATGCATTTGCGCTCATTTGTGTGCCCGTAGGCGTTCTAGTCAAAAAAGGGAGGCGTTTTGAGGCGCATTGCTGCTGCGTTGCTATTTTGAGAAACTATAATAGTCTGTTCTATAGACCAGAACAAATTATTACTGGTCTATTATCCAGCGCAGAGTGCGTTAGTTGTGCGCCTCGCTTACACACTGCTTAATACACACAAGATGTAGAGCAATACGCAAATATCTTTACATATACAAAAAGAATTTAAATATTAAGGATAATAAGGAAATATATATATGTAGGATGTAATAAGGATATATATAGGATATAAATATAAAGGATTAAAATATTACAAAACATTTTTTTATAGCCTACATAAATTTAAAAACCATACTTTCATGCCTTCTTCATCTCAGGAGGCTTTTTTTTTCATGACAATTTGCTTTTGTATAATGTTATCATTATTAGCAGTATTATTTATTATATCCATATTTATATTTGTTTTTATTAAAAACAAGCTTAGGTTTGCCCACCTGTCAGGTTTCAGACCATATGGGGCACAGCATGTGTATTAGAATATAACTCAGTTTTTTGAACACACTTTGTTATTATTGTTCATTTATTTGTTTGCTGGAAATTAGAACTAAATTTAGAAATAGTTTTGAAACAAATCTTTGTGCTTAACAAATGACGCCACGGTGCAAAGCAGATTTTTCTGTCCTTAGATTAGCAAAAGTGAATTCTGACATGCCCCTAATGCGTTTGCGCCAAGAACTTTGCACTTTGCGCATGGATCTTCAAAATAGAGCCGCAGAATTTGTCTGCAAAATAAATTTTGCAGACAAAATCTATTATAACAGTTGACTGTTTCTCAAACATAACAATTTTTTTATTAAAATTATTATATTTCTTTATTTAAAAGGGCGTCATGGTGAGGCAGTAGGTAGCACGATCGCCTCACAGCAAGAAGGTTGCTCATTTGAGCCTCAGCTGGTTCAATTGGCATTTCTGTGTGGAGTTTGCATGTTCTCCCCGTGTTGGCATTGGTTTCCCTCGGGTACTTCGGTTTCCCCCACAAGTCCAAAGACATGTGGTATAGGTGAATTGGGTATGCTAAATTGTCTATAGTGTATGTGTATGAATGCAGGAGTGTATAGGTGTTTCCCAGTGATGGGCTGGAAGGGTATCCTCTGCGTAAAACATTTATGCTGGATAAGTTGGCAGATCATTCCATTGTGGTGACCCTTAATTAATAAAGGTAATAAGCAAAAAAAAAATGACTGACTGAATGAAAGAAGTGTAGTACAATTTTTCTTTATTGTGCATGGAGGTCTGCATTCTAATCCAGGATTTTTTTAAACTGAGGGTTGCAAGGTGCTAAGGCTCTGTTTGAGAAATGCAAGTGTAAAAAGTTTTTTTTTTCTTTTTTGTTTAAATGTGAGTGATTTAAATTTTCCATTTTTTCTCCAGTTTTATTAATACTGAATGAACATGTCTCTGAATGCAGATTAAATTACCCATACAGTAAATTCCCTGTCATGCCTCCTGAGTTTAAACCTGCTAATATTGATACTGCAGTCATTGCAGCTGTGGATTGGGCCCAATTACAGTCAAATGTACTCTTGTTATGTAATCATCTGCAGTCACACTGCTTCAGGTCATTCTCACACCACCTGTGAACGTAATCACTTAAATCCAAGTCAAACATCCATATCGTGACCTAATATTGGAAATACACTAACAGTATGACACCATCATTGATTATAAAGGTTTTTTATTCTTTAAATAAACAACTGACAATTCCTGTCAGAATGTATTTTACCCCAACAGCTTGTAACATTCGAGTCTGTGAACGTATTTCACAGAAAGCACCCAGTACAATAAGAAACAGACAGACTGTTGACAGAAAAGTAAACATGTCATCGCTCAGCAATCAAAGGAGTGGCACCAAGACCTTCTTGATATAGACAAATAGTAACATGCTCATAAAGGCAAACACTGAAATGTTAATCATGACACATCCCTTTTATGATCCACGTTCTCAGAAATTAATCATTGTTATTGTGTTAAAAATGATTATAAACTGAAAACATGACACTTTAACATGACAGTATAAATAAATTATGCTACACTGTACTAAATATTCATAAGAAGCTGTTTTCCATAGTTTAAGATTCATGTTTTTAATTTTTAATATCCCACATTTATTTATGCTTTTGAAATGCATTAAGGAAACTTAATCTTTCTGATAACAACATGTAACCTTGAAAAGTTTAAAAAAGTGACTTTTATTAAAAAAATTTATAGTTTAAAGTGATATACTGTTTGGGTTGGTGTTGTATATTATGGCACAAACACCTTGTAATTAACTGCCAGGACATTCTCTGTTATTTTACAGACTTATTTCTCTATACTTTATTTATTCTACTTTATATTATTTCAAACATCTAAAAGTCACTTTGTTGAATTGTAGAGTTGAATTTTCAACACCAAAAGTCCACAGAGCAGAGATCAAGGTTTCATAATGCAATTTACATAATTTACATAATGTAATTTACAACAATAACTGTCTGAGGCACTTGTGAATCACAAAATATGGAAACTGTTAATGAACATGGTATATTTTACAGTGTACCTATTAAAAACAAACCAAAAGATATATTAAAACCCTAAAGAATTAACCCTTATTTCATTTCAAATTTGTTTATGCTTAAATATATATTTGGTTATGTAACAATATTTGATTATGCAATAATAAGACTTTGATTAAATGTATTATTTTGTTTGGTCAAATGTCACAAATGCAGCTTTAGTGTGTATAAAATGCACATTTCATTCATAAAACACGTAATAGTATCCCATTCTACGTAGTGTATATTCTAAATGTGCACCATTTAGGCCGTAGTGCATTCATGTTTTAGCAGAGCAGAAGAATGAAAGATGAGAGACCAGAGATAAGATCTGAACTGACAGACTGAGGTTAAATATTGCATTCAGCCCCAGACAAACACTACTGACTCTCTCACGTATAGACAAGACTGTATTTTTACCTTTTAATAAAAAATATAATATATAAAGGGTCTTTTTTTTAAAGTCAGGTTTATGTTTATGACATTCAATATATATATATATTCAAGAGGCATTTCTTTAGGAGATGCCTATTTTTTCTTAGACAAGGACAGTATTGCAACATAGAACAGCACTACATGCTGCTTTTGCCATTGATCGAGCATATGGTCATGTTCAGTGATGGAAAGAGTACTGAAAAATCATACTTAGGTTAAAGTACCATTACTTGCCTAAAGATGTAGAGCAAGCAGAGTAAAAGTATATGTTGTAAATATTACTTAAAGCATGAGTAAAAAGTAGCCCTTATAAAAGTACTCAAGAGTGGTGAGTAGTGAGTATTACGCTGCAAAAAGCTGATGTATTTACATCTATTTTGTGGATGTGTGTAAACATAACATTCTGTAATGCATTTAGTTATTGCTCAGCAGGCACACAACGCTATAAGACTTTACTATTAGGTTAGATTTAGTTTAAGATGTCATGTGACCAAAATTTAATGTCTAGAAGGCATCTAAGGACAATGTTATTTTGATGTTCAATTACGACGTAAAATGACATTGATATTTGGTTGATTTTAGGTTGTGTTATAAAATGACCATAACCCAATGTTGAGCCAACATCCTAAACCAACGTCCTATTGATGTCAACTGACTTCTATTTGCCAGGTATGGCAACCAAAATCTAACATCTGATAGCGACCATATTGGTAACATCCACACAACGTCAAGCTGTAACATCATTAGACTTTGATATTTGGTTGATTTTAGGATGGACGTTGGACACTGATGTCGGCCTGATGTTGAGTTCTGATGTCAACCCGATTTTCATTTCCAAATAAAATTCAATGCCCCCACGACGTTGAGGTAGAATGTCAATCTGTCAACATGTTGACATCTTATGCCTGCTTGGTGTTTAAGGCCATTTCAGTCATCATACAGTAAACCTCATCTTCTCATAAGTGACATGCATCTAAACAGTCTTTGGGTCATTGCTTGTGACAATTTTGGGCATCTTCTTGGACACTTTTAATGCTTCCAAACAGTTTGCTGCAATTATAAATCACCCATGTCTTGAGGTAGTTCAATATAATGTAATTTATCTTCTATGTGCAATTCAATTGGACGGAAATCACAGGACTGATTTTTCTAATCCCCATAGACAAGAATAAAGTAGTGACTGCAGGTTGAAGGAAAGTAGTGGAGTACAAGTACAGATACTGCACTAAAAATGTACTCAAGGGAAAGTGAAAGTACACATTTTTAAAGCTACTTAATAAATTACAATTTCTAAGAAAAGCTACTCAATTACAGTAGTTTTAGTATTTGAAATTTGTTACTTTACACCACTGGGTATGTTCTTTAAGTCATTTCTGTTTTGTTTTTAAGGGAGACTCATCTTTCGTTGTGATGACCAACTTCATTCCCACTATAGGACAGGTACAAGGCAAATGTCCTGAGGTCTGTAAACATTTTTCTCATGAGAAAATATATTTTCTCACAACTCTTTTCAGCGTTGTCTTATATACAATATGGAGATTGGTATCATACACCTGTTCTTTCCTGCCTGTTGTTTGTCACATCCTGTTATAACAGAACGGTTTCTCAGAAATAGCAAGCTTTCTTTTCTTTTCTCTTCTCTACTTTACTTTTACTTTTACAATTTTTTTTGTTTCTGTTTCAGTCTCATGACCTGTACCATAAAGGTGAAAAATATCTAAAAATGTCTAAAAAGTATTAAATAATTGAAAATGTTTAAAGATAAATAAACATTTATAAACAAGGCTTTAAGATAGTTTAAATAGTTCAAATGATTTATTCAAAATGCTGATTAAAATTATTAAAATTATTAAAATAAATAAATGAACAAAATGTTATTTTTAAAAATGATGTTCATTCAAAAAATACATGAGTGAATATAAGTGTATAATTAAAATAAATAAATGTATACATAAATAAAATAATAAAAAAAACATACAGTAAAATAATGAGTAGGAAAAAATTACTAACACAACTTTCATTTATTTATTTGATTCATTTTCCTCCGGCTTAGTCTCTTATTTATCAGGGGTTGACACAGCGGAATGAACCGCCAACTATTCCGGCATATGTGTTACACAGTTTTTATATAAAACACCCACACACTCTCTCACACACACACTCATACACTACGGCCAATTTAGTTTATTCAATTCACCTGTACCGCATGTCTTTGGGCTGTGAGGGAAATCAGAGCACCCAGAGGAAACCCACGTGAACACAGGGAGAGAACATGCAAACTCCACACAGAAATGCCAACTGGCTCAGCCAGGACTCGAACCAGCAACCTTCTTGCTGTTAGGTGGTAACCACTGAGCCGCCCCAAACAAAACTATAAAAAGCTAAATATTTTTAAATATTTTGGACAGATTTCATATTTTACAATTCTCAATATAAGGCAGGGCGACATACAAGAAACTTCTATTTTAAGAGAGGATTATCTGTTAATGGATATGTGGCATCTAAACAATTAAAACCCCCTATTCTAATTAATACTTTTGTCACTGTTGTTGCATTAAAAAAATCTTTATCTTTATTTTGTTTGTTTGCCTCTTAAACGCCATGTGCTTTATCATGTGTCAGATTGGTTGTATCCTACTGCTGGATGCAAGAATTTAGCCTGCCTTCTTGGAAACATTAAGATAGGGTTTCCAGTCAGGTATTATCTGGAACCATCCCACATACTATGGAATTTTCATGTTTTTACAAGAACGTACGTAACTGTGTTCTGCATCTAACTAAAAATCAGCAGATAACACTTCAGCTATTACTTTGTATCAGTTAAATACACAGCTTTTGTTTAGTAGAATATGTGTGATCAATGCTGAAGTACAATGAATTTTCACCATTTAACTCTAGAGCACATTTTTTCACGAGTTCTTGCAAGGCTTTTTATAAAATATATAAAATAAAATGTTAGCAGCATGGGGTGATAAGACAAAAGCTGCGTACCAAATGGCACACTATACACTATGTATTTATGCACCATGTACATAGTGTATAGTGTATTTGTATGTAGTGTCATCCAAAATGAAATACTAATGTTTTTTTTAAAAAGTGGAAATTCAAACCATTTTCCTGATGACGTTTGACGGTTGGTAAATTACCAACCAAATAATAAATGACCAAACCAATAAATGACCAAACTACCAAACAATACCTACCATGAGTATAACCGCATTCACCATCAGGAGGTGGTATTGTTATTCTGGTAGGAGAATTTTGCTTTCACATTCCAAAATAAATGATGTAATTCAACATGAGCACCTGAAAGCTCCGCCCTTTCCACTTCGTGAGCAAAGCAGCGGCTGTTGAGTGCATGAAGTGTCCAACATTTCACGCTTATTTTTAAGTGCATCATTCGGGTTATTAAAGTGCAAATATAATTTTTAGAATTTTAAGTGTGAACGCATTCCTTATTTGTACTACAAAATGTTGTATAATAGTGCATAAGTATGCGATTTGGGTCACACCTAAAATCAGTGAAAACATCACAGAAAAATACTTTAAAGAATAATCAGTTAAATATGTGTGCCACTTGTGTTTTTTTAACACTGTTCTTATTCATTTTAGTAGCTTTTAAAATTTTTTCAGGTTTTCTCTTGACTATATAAGTCATTTTTTCCAAAGCCAAACAATAAGACAATTCCCGCAACCATTGTCCAAAATGCAGGCTTTCTGTATTTTTCCAAAATCTAGTTATTATACGTTTTACATGTAATCAACAAAAAGTTAACAGTTTTTTATATGAACTAGTAAAAGTGCTTGTAGAAGGAAAAATATTAAGAATACACAGGATCAGTATGTTTTTTTTATTTACATGATAAAAATGTATTTGTTTAATGGTGCATACTATTTTAGTATTTAGATTATTTATTTATTTATTTATTTTTACGACAGATGAGACTGAATTACAACCCCAAATAAGAAAAAGTTGGGACAGTATGGAAAAGGCAAATAAAAAAGAAAGAAAGAAGTGATTTCTAAATTTACTTTGACTTGCATTTCATTGCAGACAATGTTAACACAAAATATTTCATGTTTTGTCTGGTCGACTTCATTTCATTTGTAAATATGCATCTTTTTCTGTCATTCAGACCTGCAACACATTAAGTTGGGACAGGAGCAGTTTTGGGCTAGTGCTCATGTAAATTGGTTAAATAATCATGTGATGTCAACATGTTATGTACTGTAATTATGATTTGGTACAAAAAGCAGCATACAAAAAAGGTGTATTCCTAGGAGCAAAGATGGGCCGAGGATCACCAGTTTACCAACAAACACGTGAGAATATTTCAGTAACCCACAATCAAACCGTCAGCAGTTAGTTTAGTTCAACCTTTTATCTACATTACGTACAGATGTTTTGTTTCCACAGTGTGGTTGAATGTTAACCACACAAGGTTAAAGTCACTTACTTCCCATACTGAAGCTGGCAAACATGTAACCTAAATAAAATCTGTCTGTCCTTCCTGTTCACCCCCTGTACTTGACTTTCATGCTCTCGGTTTACCTCAATCTTATTTGTCTTTCGCTGGATTCTCAGGTTGCACTTTATGCCCTGTCTGCAAAGCTTTGCTCATAAACAAATGTGTTTCGATAATTGGGTTTTGTGGTCATTCAACCCATTTCCTGTCTTGTTTGTATCTCACGTTGTTTGCATATCTTCAAGCAAGCAAACTGCGGTCTAATTAAACACTAGCCATTAAAGTTGGATTCTCTTGTGTGTGTTTCAGCTGCCGGATGGGAAGAACAAGTGCACCAATGACTCAGACTGTGATGACAGCAAATACAAACGTACGGGCAATGGTAAAGTTTAAGCTTTCTCATTATTCCGACAGAAGGAAATCAGCAAAGGAGACTAACTTCACCTCACTAGCAGCATGGCTCAGATGAACTTACTAACTGAGAATCTTTTCATTGGCTTTGTGTGATCCCTGTGTGACCTTGACTGGTAACTAAATCATCCCAGTGGTGGTCTAAGATTTGCACCGCAGAATTTAAATAAATCATGGGGTAAGAAAATAGATGCCCTTGCACGCAAGTGTTGTGGTTTTAGTTCAGAATCACAGAGGGCCTCACACTGTCATCTCTGTAAGTCACTAACACTCATAACTAACATGCTTTGCTCTCATGCTCTGAGGCTTCATTCTCAGATTTACACATCTTTTATGAACTTTACCCCTTGCTCGATCAATGATGTCTATGACTTTCAAAAGGCTTGTATTAAGATTTAGTTTACTTGCGTTGTTTTCCAAATGGGATAAATCCACCTAAGAAGATCAGTCAGAGTGAAAACAATCATATCTGTCAAAGTAAATGCTCATTCCAGAGCAAAATGCTTATAACTGGCCAATTGAAAGTGTGCTTTATAATGAAGGATTTCCAAAAATGTACAAGTGAATTTCACATATCTATAGTTGTCAAAAATACTGCGCCTTGAATAGTGTAACAGTGTAGTGTGTACTGACCTGTACCTTCAATAATAATATTAACAGCAAAAATACCAGTGATAGAAAATGTAAATATACATTTGACCACCCCTATGATGGTTCAATCCATTATCAAAGCATGATCGCGCCAGCAGGCTGTATGCTAGAAAACTGAAACCAGCTGACCTTTTAATAGATGTTTATGCTCACATAATGAAAATAAAACTGTTAACATGATGATTTTTATATCAAAAATAAGATCTTATTTAGATGCCAGAAACACATCAGAGGTTACTACAAGTCAAAATGCACTAGCATAAAATATCAGCTGCGCCCGGTCAGTAACTGGATTGGAGACCACATGGAAAAGCTGGGTTGCTGCTGGAAGTGGTGTTAGCGATACCAGCAGAGAGAGCTCAACCTGTGGTCTGTGTGGGTCTTAATACCCCAGTATAGTGAAGGGGACACTATACTGCTAAGTCAGCGCCGTCCTTCGAATGAGACGTTAAACCGTGGTTCCGACTCTCTGTGGTGGTCCCAGGATATTCTTCAAAAAAAGACTAGGGATTTCAACCCGGCATCCTGGCTAAATTTGCCCACTGACCTCTGTCCATCATGGCTTCCAACCATCCCCATGTCATAATTGGCTTCATCACTGTCGCATCTCCACCAATCAGCTGGTGTGTGGTGTGCGGTCTGGTGCAATATGGCTGCTTTCACGTCATCCGGGTGAATAATGATATTTCCCCCATTGTGTAAAGTGCTTTGAGTGTCCAGAAAAGTGCTATATAAATGTAAGGAAATATTATTATTATTATTATTATTATTATTATTATTATTATTGTTATTATTGTTATTATTATTATGTTTAATTCAATAATTATCAGAAGCAACAAATTGGATATACAAAAGCAAACTGAAGTGGTATTTTTCATAAATTAGTTTGGTTTTTTAAACATTGTCAAAACCAGCTTTCACCTGATCATTATTTACTGTGCTATTACTAACCAAACATAAAATAAGAGACCCCTATAACACTATTATTGGTTCTGTAGATTTACTATTAAAAGGTACACATTTTGAATGATGAATATTCAATTGTGTTTTATTTTATAAACTACTGATAATGAGTCGTCAAAATATTAAATAAGAAGATTATCAATTAAAATGACAACAGGTGATAAAAATAGAAATAGAAAAATATGGAAATGATTCTAAACCCTGAATTTCTTTCAAGAACACCAATAAACAATGACTTAACATAAAGTTGATTTAAAAGCACAATCAAATCTACATTATTGACTGATATGACTGGCTCTATGTGGGTCACAAATACTCAAATATTGACTCAGTTTCAGATGCAGTGTAGCAGAACGATTTACTCTAGGAATACAGACGCAAGTAAACAACACTATCTCACATTGATGTAATTCAAAATTCCCCGACTTCCAGTCATGGGCGAGTGGCACAAACTTCCAACAAACTTATGATCCTTAATCCTGTTACAAGAACTCGGGGTAAACTTCACAGCTGTTTCTTAGAAAAACACACAACCTTCTTCTTTCCTCTATACTAGCTATTAAATTTTATTTCATGCATACCGAATCACTAATTATATTATATGTTTCATGGTATGTGGATTTAATATTTGAGACAAGCAAAGTGTGGCACATCTTATAGCAAAACAGTGTATTTCAATAGTCTATTGATGCTGTACTGCCAGTTTATAGTGTGAATGTTGATTTTCCTGGCAAAGAGTCATACTGAAATTACAAACATATGGCTGACTACAGTCTGATGAAAGCATTCCTAAATAACTGTATACTTCATTCTCATTAATTCAGAGAAAAGTTTATTTAGCAACATTAAAGTCATGGCAGCCCATCAGAGAACGAGCACAGTCAAGTACTAACAGAAATAGATGTGTATCAGCCACACAAATTTACTCAATTGTTGTACTAGTGCTCATCATATCTTGTTCAAAAAGTCTTATAATCTTCTACCTAATATTGTGGCAACTTGTTTTATACTTTAAAAATGAGAAAATAAAAAATTTTGGCCTACAAAATCTGCCATCTCTCTCTAGGGCTTGTGTAGGTTTGCAGTTTTTGTTTCGATTCATTCCAAACTTTTTCTTCTCCATTTTTTTTTCTTATGCCTTACTGTCTCTCTCAGGGCACATGACGGGCAGGTGTATGAACAAAACCCAGACTTGTGAGATCTACTCATGGTGTCCTGTTGAAGACGACCGTAAAATACCAGAGTATGAATGCTTACTTAATTGCTTTTGATATTTGATCAGTCACATTAGGATGTCAAACAACAATCTGTAATCTACAACTTTTATATATTTTGAGTTTTTCAAAATAGCGGTATCTGGCCCTGTAGCCATTGATAGTCATGGTACACTAAAAAAATTATCATATTTAATGATTTAAATATGATTTTTTTTGGATTTAGGATTTTTTTTAAAGTTAAGTGGTTGTAAACTATTTATTTGGGCTGAATTAAAACAAATAAATTAGGATGAAAAGAACTAAATTTTATTTGTTTAAATTCAACATAAATTGCTTGCAAAAATTTTGCAAACATAATTTTTTCAGTGTAAAAAGTATTATGGAATACTATAGACTTCAATGGGCAGTGGTTTTCAGCATTATTTGAGTAATAATAAGTGAATAAATTATGATAAAATGTTAATTTTGGGGTGAACTCTGCCTTTAAACATTTTCATTCATTTTTAGTTGCTTGTTGACCATTATTTGAGTCAAATGTTTGCTATATGGTTTGTTGAAGCAAACATTTACATCTATATATCCTGAACTTGTCAGTGTAAATCAAATTACTCTTGACAGTTACCACCCTGCAAACGTAAATGCATGTTTGTTTTCACCTGGGGCAAGTGACACATTGTATTGACAGTAAAACTGTTTCAAATCAGCCCACGGTCTTGCTCTGACACATTTAACTTCTTTTGTCTGTCTTGTTTTTTTTAGCCCTCCAATCCTACTGACAGCAGAAAACTACACACTATTCATCAAAAACTCCATTACCTTTCCCCAGTTTGATGTAGTCAGGTAAAAACACCTCCTTTCTGTTGAAAGGAGATATTTTACTAAAAAACTAAATAAATACAGCGGTATTGTATTTTTTACTTCAAAGATTCACAGATCTATTTTTCCTCCTATAATAATAATGATTTTTCATTTGTTGCTTTAACTCAAACTTGGTTAAAATATGGACCAACCAACCCAACAGTTGATTTGCAAATGTTTAAAACTAAAATTTAACATAAGCCTTGACTTATCTTGGTCCATATTTTAACAAATAATACTAGCATAATACTATAGATTTGACATAAATAAAAACAGCTATTATCTAATCCCATTTTGACTCATTTTGAACACACCATACAATGTCTTACAGTTATCATTTTATTACAATAACCGACATACAATGACTTCTAAAAATATCAAGGGAATTGTCCCTTGTCATAACCCCTTTTAAATGTAACAATACAGTTCAGCAGACAATATTTAGTTCTATCTTCTTCTCTCTCTCCCTAGGAGTAACTTGGTGGAGGGTATTGATCAGAATTACATCAATAACTGTGTGTATCACCCCAAAACTGCTCCGCTGTGTCCTATCTTCAGACTGGGTGACATTGTTGAGCGATCCGGGTTCAGTTTCTCAGAAATAGCTCGTGTGGTAGGAATTTGTTATTGGCTTTGTAAATATTTTGAAACGTCCACAGATACTCACACTTCTAGTAATACTTGTTCTTCAAACACACATTCATTTATATTATATCAAGAGAAATCTGGAACATAACCAGATGTTTCTCTGTCTAGTGCAAGTGATCACTAGGATATTTAATTACACTCTCAGAAATAAAGGTACAGGAGCTGTCACTGGGGCCAGACCTTTTTAAAAGATACACTGTAAAAAAAATATTAGTTTAGTAATAATAATAATGGATAATTAATTACAGAAATTTACCAGAAATTTAAATGTAACTATATTTCTGTGATTTAACATCTGTTATTTTACGGAATATTTCTGTAATTTAATGGCTGTTTATTTTACGTTTTTTTCCGGCACCCCATTTTTTTTACAGTGTATATATTTGTACCCAAATAGTCCAAAGTGGTACCTATAAGGTGCATATTAGTACCCAAATGTACCTTAAAAAGTACCTTTGAGGTACCATTATGGACTATTCAGGTCAAATATGTACCTTTTGAAAGGTACTGCCCCAGTGACAGCTCATGTACCTTTATTTCTGAGAGTGTGGGATATCTCATAAAACTTTCCCAAAGGGCATTTGTAGGTAAAAAAAAAGTAAAAAAGCATATATATATATATATATATACATGTGTGTATTGTGTGTGTGTGTGTGTGTGTGTGTGTGTGTGTGTGTCTCATAAAATGAGACCTTTTTGCAATGTAGATCCTATTTTAAACATCTCACAATTACATTTATACTTTTTCCAAATAAATAATATATCTAGAGGATAAATAATACAGAGAGGATACTAGATGAACATGGGATGATAATTGTCATGGTTTTCGCTGTGTAATGTTTTAGGGAGGTGCTATAGGAGTCCTCATTGACTGGGACTGCAATCTGGACCTGAGTATCAGATTCTGCAAACCAAAATATGAGTTCTATGGTCTTTATGGAACTGGGAAAAACGACCAAGTAGATAAAGCATCTCTGGGATACAATTTTAGGTGAGTGACAAAAATGATCCCGTTGTCAGTATGAGAAACTTGAGGCTGACAGTGACTGAGAAAAACAGTGTTGTGTAATGACATATTTTAGAAGCTATATTTGATATTCAGGTTGTCTTAAAAATAAAATTATACAGCTACTGTAAGCTGAGAAAAGGTCAAACCTGCTTTATTGTATTACTGTAATGTCTAGCCAGTACACTTTAATAATACCTATAAAAGAATACACTGAAAATGGTATTGAAGCTTTTTAATTAATATTCTATTAATGTGTGGATTCAGCCCTAGAACTACAGTGTTATGTGCTTCTGGCTGTTTCAGATTTGCTAAATATTATGTGGAGAATAGTGTGCAGAAGAGAACACTGATGAAGGTGTTTGGTGTGCGGATAGACATTATTGTTCATGGGCTGGTAAATATGTTTTTGTTTAATGATCCATAAAAAACATTAAGGAACATGCTGAGTTTAATTTGTTGACAAGTGTTTGTACATTTTTATTTTTGCAGGCAGGAAAATTTGATATAATACCAACGCTGACAGCGATAGGTTCAGGAGTAGGAATATTTGGAGTGGTGAGTCTCACAGAGAATATACATTCAGTACACTATATTATACAAAGTGATATATCTGGTTGTTAATCCATGAAAACTATTAATCGCAGTTCTTTTTTATTCTACAGTTATTAAGTTTTCTATTTATACAAAGATTATTTATTAAATGACAATTAAAACACAAAATAAATAGACATTTAATTATGTATTTTTATTTGGCTGTGCAAAAATTGTAAAAACTGCCCACAGATTCTGTCTGGGTCAAGCCATGACTGACTGAAATCAACTCTATCTTAATATTTCAATTTGTGTCTTTAAGGCCACTGTTGTGTGTGATTTGCTACTCCTATATATACTTCCAAAGAAGAATTTCTACAAAACCATGAAATTTAAAGATGCAGAAATCTGTGAAGAGGTGAGTGTCAACATTAAATAAAGAAATAAAGATTTCCTAATAATATGCAAAAACACAAAACCCCATTTTGGAGTTAAAAATACGCTGTCATATTGAGCCATAACGATATTCTGTGTCATTCAGTTTATGCCATTACTTACAGTATTATCCAAAAAGAAGTATTTTGAAACCAGCTTAATGCGCTTGTTATTACTGTTAGTAGTAGATCGCAAGCTGTTAAGTAAATTGTGTTGTTACTCACTGATGCTATTTCAATAGCTACACGCCAGATGGCGGCAGAGTCTTACAGATAAATGACATGAAAGGAATCTAATTCTTGAGTTGCTGCAGACGCACTGCTGTTTTACAAACATTTACATTAAGCTGCATTCCCTTACTGTCACCATGAAAACAACCAAGGAATACTTAAACTGTAATTAAAATGTCCTCAAACTGTTTAAAAGGCACACCACACGTGATCTGAAAAAGTATGTGTGTGTAAGGAAAAGTTTATCCACGTCTGCCTCAGTGTCTTTCCACAAAATCTCTGTTCTTAATATCAAAGAAATGAAGACTCAAGAAATTGTATAATGCAGTGCCAGGCTAATTAATGTCTTATTTTATGAGCTTTTTTCTAACTCTTTCACATTTTTGTCTGATACTTTTAATTAGAAGCGTTAGGAGAGTAGTATTTCAGTCTCTCAAAACAAAAACAAAACTTGAAAAATTTGTATATTTTTCATTCAGATGGCTAATAAAATCATTTTGGAGGGTTATCATGTCAGTTAAGAAAAATACATGTTTTTACAACCCTGCTACCTGCTAAAACTGTAGACTGTTAAAATAAATAAAACTAATAAAAACCTTATGCCTTGCACTTTGAAAGGATATTACCTTTAGATATTGATTATTTTAGGGTAAATGAATAATTCATTTTATTTTATACTTCAAAATGCCAACAGTATTGACATTTTAAGATTAACTTACTTATGTTTAAAATGCCAGAATCCTGGTTGAGAGATGATGCAACTTCCTGGAAGGGAGGTTTCTGGGATGTGTCATTATTTCACTTTTTTTTTTTTTTTTTGCTGACCTTAACAGGGCTAACATAAAATCAGGGGGCACTGCTAGAATAATTTACGTTTGTAGACTTGTCTCAAAAAATATAAATTATCAATAAGACTTTAGTCATACATTTAATATGCAAATGTATTTGTTGAATCATTTCACTTAAAAAGATAACTGCATCATGCTGTTAAAGAAAAATGGTAACAAGGAACAGGTCAAAAATCTTAATTTAATTACTTAGAATAGTATTTTATTTGAAGTAATACTGCTGAGAATTTACATACTATTGTTACACACGCTATTGTATGTTTTGAAATCACACATTTATGTATTGTTGTTATAATAATAATATATATTATTTTCTATAGCTCCATTAAAGGTATCTGTAAAAGGTCTTTATATAAAGGAAAAAAATATATAATTAACCTTATACATAAGATGTGGAAAAGAAATCACTTCCAGGTTCAAGAAACACTCAATTTTGAGATTTTAACAGTTTTGTGTGTTGAGCATCATTTAAAGACAATGTTAGCACCTGTCACCTTTAATTGTTAGGAAAACTAGATAATTTTTAGCTTTTGTCAGCTAATTTTATCTTCTGGGTTTAAAATAATTTTTGGGGCGGAATCTACTAGTGGAAGGATGACACTTGGGTTTCTCATTATTGTTCATAGTGACGTTTTCTTATCCAATGAGAAGACCCTGCTTAATTATTCATGAGAGCACGTGTTTCTGATGACAGACCTGCCAAACTGTGATACCTCATTCGAGCACCGGACGCATTTAGCTATTCGTATGTGTTTGTTTCCATGAAACACAGGGTTTGCTGCGTGTTTTCCCCGCGATGCTGTCATACAGCAAAGCTGTTGGTTTGCAGCAAGCATTTTTGTTGAGAGAGCTGTACAAGAATTGCAGAGAGGTGGACTTTGTCTTTTATCAGTTGACTTTGTTACCAATAAGACACATCGCCTATATCTGTGCTACTATGTTAACACGTTTAAAATCCTTAGATTACTGGCAGGACTAATAGTTGAAATAGACAGGCAAGAGACCTGCTGCGCTGCTCCACTGTGTCTGCACTCAGACCCGGAAATTCAGGAGAAGAGAAGTCCTCCCCATTTATATTTATATAAACATGATTATCTTTATAAAGATAGAGCAAATTGTGGTTATGTGTATATGAAATTACCAATAACAAATGTAGTTGGACATTAAATTACTGTTTATTTTTGCATTATAACTTTGTAAATGATACAATCATGGGTCCCCTCATGGTTTGTGTGTCAAAAAAAAAATTCATTACCCTTTAAAAGACATTCTGAAAAAGATTTTAAGATTTTAAAACGTTAAGTTTTAAGAACAGATTTAAAACCACTTAAAGATTCAACCTGCCTGATTTCAGAAGAACAAAATTTCTGTGTGAAATAGGAAAAGGCCCCAACAGAAACAGGTAGTGGGTACCACTGAAAGACTCAATGATCTAAAACTGGAGAGATGCTCTTTTGTCCAGGATTCTAGCGGATCAGTTTTGAATTGACAGAAACTTACTTAAAGTGGTTTTTAGAAGTCCCCGCAAGCAGTGCAAGTGTTTTTTTCAGCAGCTGAGAGAGATAGAGATGCTGTTCCATTGGGCAGTCTTATTTATTTTTTTAGATAAAAAACGAACTTTTTTTTACTGAAAGTGTAAAACATGTTCCTAACCTGAGATCAAAAGGTTAATTTAGTGACAAATAGCACACCCAGGTTTTTACATTTATTGTGAAAATCTAATACAATGTTATTTGCCTGACTATTCCATGCAGATGTCAAAGGCACCATCAGCAAATATCTGATGTTTGATGGCAGTATGATTGCAGGCAGTAGGTTAAACTGCAGCTTTAAAGGCCGTGCAACACCACAGATTCCTATAGATCCTGTAGCTCTGCACTGATAGTTACTGTAGCAACGGCACATTGACCGAACCCATCTCTTATAGAAAAAGGAGAGTGCGAGCACATCTTATCACAGGATTCCCACCCGAGCAGCTCTCAGAAAGAGAAACCTTATGCTCAATAATGATCTCACATATCTGTTTACCCATCCACAGACCCCAGCCTTGCCCCAGACACAAGAAGACAGCGAGTCACAGAAGGTAACGTAGCATTCAAATCATTTCAGCCGCAGATCCCTGTAGAACCACAGCGTATCTCCATAAACAACTTTTCAATTTTAGTTGTGGTCACAGTAATTCAGATCTTTGCTGTTCACAGGAGTGAAGTCAGGACGGCTGCCATGACGACTGACTACCGCACTGAAGGGGAAAAAAATCTAGTAAATAAATAAAAAAATTAACTGACTGGAGCATAAGGAAAGATGACTGGGAGACATGGCACACATCACTTGTCCTTTCTAGATGACATTTCCTTCTCCATCCATGGAGAAAACCAACATGTTAAATCACTGTTATGATATGCAATGAAGCTAATATCCACTGGGTGTGTTAATACTGAAAGCCTCAGGACTGTATAGAAACAATTTTGTAAGGTTTTTACCAGGTTTACAGAGTTTTCGGCAGCACGTGTTTTACGAACAGGGTAATGTACAGTATAAGCATGCCACCCATATACAACTGTAGATATTTTATTGCTTTAAAACTTACTGGCATGTATTTTTGTATTTTTATCTTCTGTTGTTGAGATTTTAACTGTGACTTTTTGATTTTTGTGTGAATTTAGTTGTAAATTGTCAGTGAACCATGCTGGGACTATCATATTTTGCTTTAGGCCATTCACAAAATGCTGAGCCAAGAAACAGAAGTCTGTTATTTTGTTACTATAAAACTTTGTGTATTTCCATTGGTCAGTAGTTGTGTTTGGTGGTTTAATATTTCTGGATGGCAGAACAGCCGTGTTCCAGTCTTGTTCCAAAACTCAAAACTCATTTTCGTCCATATAGGGTAATTGAATATTTACAATAACTGAAAAACATTTAAAGACAGACCTGTTGTACGCCCACCTGTTTACAGTACATTACTTCAGCTTACTGTTAAAAATAAGCATATTTAATAGTAGCATTTTTGTAGTAAAACTACATTTCCCATGACGCTGTTCAGAAAATTCCACCAATTTAAGCAAAGCCTTGAAATTAGATTTTTAGCTCTGGATATTCTCATGAAGCACTGCAAATTTTGTAATCAAGTCAGTCTCTATCTGTCCTCAAAAGCCATTTCAACCATATCATCCTGCATCCCAAGACCGATTACTCACTGAAGCTATGTCATACCCGTCAACATTGGGATGTGAAAACAAGGGATGTGCCATCTCTAACGCCTAACAACTTTTTATTTACTGTATAACTTAAACATTCTGACTAAACAGCAACAAATGAATCTCTCATTTAGATTTTTGTTTGATTAAATAACAGCAGTGTCACTTTAAAACTGCACAGATCCATAATGAAAGCATTCCATTCCTTTCCTAATGTTTTATACTCATGTGAGACAAAATTAGTTGTGTTTGAAAGAAAACCCACCAAGATTGACATCTTTAGATGTTATTATTATTAATTATGTGTATATGTATGTTCAAACACACACCCAAAAGATTTTCCACTTTCACTCCACCTCAAATCATGTTTACAGAATCCATTTGGGAAGTGTATATTTATCACTATGTAGCACGTCAGCTGACAGTCACACACCGCTACATGAACTGACAGTTTTAGGGTTGCATAGGAGGGGTAACACTGCCTGTAATGACAAGGAAGGGATTCAAATCATTTTCATATGCATTTTAAAGTGTTTTCATGACTAAATAAAATAAAAACACACAACAGATTCATATTTAAACATATATAATAAATAAATAAATAAATATATATATATATATATATATGTATGTATATATATTAGGGATGTAACGGTATCAAAATTTCACGGTACGGTAATACCTCGGTATGAATGTCGCGGTACGGTATTTATTGAATCATTTACAGGAAAAAAAAAACTTTTGAAAATACTCCAAAAAAGTGCCAAAAGTGTCAATGACATACAAATTAGCCATCTATCTGTTAGCTTTGAAACAGGAACTTCAATTTTAATAACAAAAAATTATTAAACCATGTAAAAAAATAAAGTTTCAATTTAGTATTGTTGAAAACTCATCACATTCAACATTTAATCACTCACTTAGATAGAGATGGGTTTAAAGAAAAATTATCATATAATTATAATCTGGTAAAAGCTGGTATCTCTGGGTATTTACAATGTCCCCTGCAACAGAAAAAACCCCTCTCATTTGGGACTGAGGTTTCTGGGACAAGAGAGATATGACTTGGCCCATGTTGACAGCAGTGGGGTAACGTTGTGCATTGTCTTTCCCCCACTTGAGAAGACAAACCATGAGTGAGATAGAGATCTCTTTGCGGTACAAGTCAATGCATCATCTGCATCAATCTGAACAGTGCTGTGTTTCTGCAGTCCCCATGACTGTTATTAGTCGTATTCCCCAACTTGCAGGCACGTGCACACATAGGGCTCAACCTGTGCAGTGCACATGCCCTTTTTAGTCTTGGATAGAAAATGCCCTTCCAAAACGATCAAAAGTGCCCCCGCGACGCGACACAACCTCCGTCCAGTCCAGCCCTTCAGTAGGCGCGCGACAACACCTCTCTTGGTATGCGCGCTCAACCCCCCCCCCTCGGCGCTTTACAATACGCGCGCCACAACACAGCTGATCAGAACGCGCGCGACAGCACCGCTATTCAGCACGCGCGCGGCGACAACACCCGCTTTAGGTTCGATCATTTCCATCTTTTTTTCATCTCCGCTACTAGCAGCACACTCCATTTCCGCATTACTGGATCTGTAGCGACAACAGACCGCAAAGGATTATGGCCACGCCGGGGCTGATGGGAAATGAAGTTTCAGCTACCTCCCGTTCGCTTCATTCGCCTGAGCAAATTTTCTCTGAAGATCTATAGTTTTACCGAGTCATGCGACTTCGGTAATATCGAAAAAATTTAATATTGCGGTATGACGGTATTTACAATATCGTTACATCCCTAATATATATATATATATATATATATATATATATATATAAATAAATATACATTTTTACACATTTGAAATTAATTAAGATTTGTTAATATCTTTGCTAAAATTCAAATTGTAGTTTTAATTGTGTCTTTTGCAATGCTTCATGGGATTGTAGTTCTGGGGGCATATCACAGAAAGATAATAATTTTAAAGTAGTCCCCATACTGCTTTGTAACCTTATGAAAAGTGTTTGAAAAGTGGCAGTTTTTAAAGGGAGGTGTGCCCCCAAACCCCACCCCAAGCACTGGCTCTCATTAGGGATGAGCGAATCATACTAAACTGTACATACGAGGTTGTACAAATTCAAACAAATTAGATATTAAACTAAAAAGTTACAAATTGCAATAAGATTGTTGGTAAATTCAGTAAGCAGAACATTTGGAACAAAAGCAACAGAACAGCATTTCCTAGTGTGTTATCTTATTTCAACTACAGATAGGAAGGTGGTATTACAGAAATATCCAAATGTGACACAAAAAAATCCTAAAAACTGCCAACCTGTCAGCTGTCCTAATTCAAAATTATAAGTTGATAAATTTGCTTATAATTTCACTGTCCAGGACCTGCAACAGCATTACAGAGAGCAACAAAGCATCATGGAGCATTGCTAGTTATAGTGCAGTGACTAATGCCAACAGTTTTTGTTCATGTTTGTTTTTTGCTTTTCAAACAGTTTAGCTAGTGTTGGTTGCTTGGTAACAGAGCTAAAAGTGCATACTTGACATAATTAAATATCTCCTAACTAGAGATAAGATGTTATTATTATACGAATTTGTGCAAAACTGCTGATTTAGGGTGCATCATATTTTAAGTTAAGATTTTCTGTCATATGCTCCCTGTTCCTTAAAGTCATAAAGTACACACTCTTTTACTTTTGTCGTTATGACATACTTTTTTTCTTTCAGATCAAAGTTTGGAATGTTATGGTTCTTTTCCTAACTACATGTTTTGGTTGCTTGGTATTAATGCTTTAACAAAAAAGTTTTTTTAGTCCCTATAAGAAAAATAAATGGGTACCTAATACAATGTTTATGGAACCAATATTTCTGCTGCTGAAAAAGTGTGCAGCCACTACCTCACTCTGTATTGACTATGCATCCTCACAGCATTTTCAGGAAATTTGTTTTCTAGCTCTGTCCTTGTTCACTCTTTAAAATTAAAAAGAAAATAAAAATAAATTTTACATTACATTTACAATTTTTGTTATTTATAATAAAAAAAATCCAGTTAAATATTTAGCATGCTTGTTAAAGGGATAGTTCACCCAAAAATCAAAATGTGCTCACCCTGGTTTCAATTTCTTTCTTCTGTTAAACACAAAACAAGATATACTGGAAAAAGCTGAAAACCATTGACTTCCACAGGAAAAGCAAATAATATGGGAGTCAATGGTTACAGGTTTCCAAACTCATGATATATTTTGTGTTTAGAAGAGAGAAAGCCAAACCGGTTTTAGGGAAGCCAGTGAATGATGACAGAATTAGCAATTGTGGGTAAACTATCCCTTTAACTCCAAACTAAAATAAAAAAGAAAACATGAATTAAAATAATAATGATAGTTCATTAATTTTCCTTCAGCTTAGTCTCTATTTCAGAGGTTACCACAGCGGAATGAACCACCAACTATTGCAGCATACATTTTACACAGTGAATGCCCTTCCAGTCGCAACCCAATAATGGAAAACACCCATTCACACATTCACATTAACACACACTTATACACAACGGTTAATTTTTATTCACCTAGAGTGCATGTCTTTGCACTGTAGGGGAAACCTGAGCGCCTTGAGGAAACCAACATGAACCCAGGGCAAACTCCACACAGAAATACCAACTGGCTTAGCCGAGATTCAAACCAGTGACCTTCTTGCTCTGAGGCGACCACTGCTTACCACTGAGCCACTGTGCAGCCAAAATGATAATAAAAATATTTTTAAAACTTCATTATTAATGATATATATATATATATATAGATATATATATATATATATATATATATATATATATATATATATATATATATATATATATATATATATATAAACCTACTCAGCATTCTTGGACACTCAGATGGTCTTTCTAACACACTGCAAAGGGAGTGTGTTAGAGGGAGTGTGTTGCCTTAAAAGCAGCAAGCTGACTTTACTTAAAAAAGTGAGTAAACCTGTTTAAATTGGTAACTTTTAAGTTGATATAACTTAATTTCTATAGTATGCACATACTGTAGTTCATCTACTTAAAAAACAATAATAATAAGTAAACCTATTGCCTGTTTACTCACTCATTCAAGTAAAGTCAACTAGTCTTTATTTATAGTGCATAACAATTATTTAAGCTTAAAATGATCTCTACTTTGCACAAGTACCCTGATAAATGTCTGTTAATTTTGCAACTCTTTTATTTCCCTGTATTGCCATCTACCTAAATTTGAGATTTTTTAAATCCACCGTTTACAGTCTTACAGAATTTTTGTCGCAAAAAGTACTATTTTAAAGAACAGCTATGAATTCATTGATTGATTTCTAATTACTTGATTCCCAATTACTAAAACCTACATGACAACATAAGGAAGAAAGCAGAGACACCTGTGATATCTTTATTGTCTTTGATTATGTCTATGTGTACAAAAAGCATGCAAAAAATAGCATCTTTATATGCTTTGGTACATATTTACATCAAAAGAGTTGCATTTAGTGCCTCCTCACGCCATGCTCTTTTTTGTCTATTTTCTTCGATTGGTTTTTAACAGTTACATTCAGATCAGTGCAGCAGAATACAGACGTCTATAAATAACCGGCGATATCAGGCACTCTGACACAAATAACTGGGCAGTAATGTTAGCAAGACAGTCATCTACGACTTCTATTCATAAATCTTCTCTGATATACCTTTAAATCAACATGTGTAAGGAAAGGAACTTTAAAAAGCGGAGATGCTTTGAAAGCAAAAATGTTTTGTAGCTACAAAGTGCCTCAAAATGCCCACACTGTTAACGATTTTTGTAGTTTGCACAGTATTTAACTGTAGTAATAACTGTATTTTACTGTAGGACAGTTATGCAGTGTTACTGTAGTTTAAAGTTGCATTGTGAAATTACAGTAGATTTTACAGTAATACTATACTGTGAATACATACAATGTACAGCAAGATAAAAGATGCTGTAAATGTGAATACAGTACTTCTGCTGTAATTGATTTACAGTAAGTTACTGTAGATTCTTTTTCTCCCTTCTTCAGTCAAAAAAACAACCTTTGGGTAATTAGACCTAATCTATTGCACGTGAGCTGGGAAAGGAAATAAAGCCTTCGCACTTGATCATACAGAGGTATGGAGTATCGGCTGCTGCATATGTTCAGCTTTTACAAAAGTCCTGAAGGAGACAATTTAAAGGGGTTTCAGACATTATTTGTTTTGTTTTACACTGATATTAAAAAACAGCAAACCCAGAGAGAGGTTAGAGCAAGTTAAGGGACATGCCGAACGTCAAAACACTAACAAGTGCATAGCATACATCAAAAACAAACCGACAAGACTGCTGTACATTTGAGACACAATGGACAAATGCGATTGCACATATGAAAGAAGGGGGTCATTTGAAATCATTCAACAGACTTATACACACAAACACACTTTAGAGCTCGTGAACACAGAATGTGCTACTCCACTCAATCTGTATTCCCAGAACAGCAGCGTCCAGACCCTGAGTACCACATACAGAATCACAAACAAGACTCCATTAATGCCTGATAACAAAAAAGAAGAAAAAACAGTATTGTTTGGCACTGAAAATGGGTTTCCTGCATGTGAAATTCAGTTTAGAGAAAACTGTATGAACAAGAAGCAATCTTATAAAGAGTTTGTGCATAAAAGAGGGTCAGAGAGAGAGAGAGAGATGGGGAAGAGAGAAAGAACAATGGAAGAATGTGTAGGAGTCAGAAAACTGGACCACCATCTGCTCAGGATATTAGTGAGAATATAATGAAAGCGACTCACTGCCATTAATCAATCCATCTTCATATGGGTTTTAACGAGTCTGCTAAATGAGTGACATCGGTTAAAGGTTTCCTCAAGCAATCGCTGTTTATATAATCTATTTACTGAGGGATAATTGGCAACTGACCTGATTGAGTCCAGTTTTGTTCTTGTAAAATGAATTAAAGGGACAGTTCACACAATAGTTTGAGACGCTCTGTTCAACAGTAAATGATGGCTACAATGGTTCCCATACACTTTAATTAGACCTATATGAAAATTAGTGTCTTTGACACACTGCTAAATAGGGCTTCATTTTATTTGTTTAAGTTAATGGTGTATAAGTGTTTAAATTTTTTTAATGCACCTAATGAACACACATTGGCTTAAATGGGTTTACTGTACATAGTGAAACGGTAACACTTTATAATAACTGCATACTATGAATTGTTTATTAAGTTTAACCAGGTTGTTAACTTATTATCTGTTAAGCATTAACTTTACATTAATGTTAGTACGCAGTTTAAAAAACAGCTACAAATGCTCTGTTCTTGACTTAAAAGCACATTGATAATGTGCTTAATAATTGTATTTTTATTCTTTATTACTTATTAATTGTACTAAATTCAGTATTGCATTATTTACAAACCATTTGTATTCAATAGTGGCTTTTAGAATTGGTCAGAATGAGTTAGTAAACGAATAATAAACTATACAAACCAACATTTCTTCACCTAGAACTATAAGGTTCTATCTGACATTTTTGTTAAAACTGAGTTATAGACATATTCTTATTAAATGACAACTTATTTACATTATGGGATGTTTTTTTAACAAGTTGTTTACATTTTAAGACTTTTTATTTAAAAAACAAATGTTACACACATCCTGTTTGCTATGAAATGCAAAAACTTTAAAGCTCAATATCTCAAAATCTCTCAGAACGCATAGAGAACAAGGTGAGGATTTATCCATTTTATTATTCAGGCATATACTAGTAGTTACTATGTATGTTAATAACCGCTTTATCAACTCAACTTTATGCAGTCAGTGACCTAATCTAAAGTGAGGACTATTTACTGTATGCTTTATAAATCCCTTATAAATAACAATAAAAGGCTCAGTATCAGATGAACAATAAATGTTTGCAATCTTATCTAAAAAAACAAAATTAATGTAAAAAGTAAACACTGCAGAATAACAGGAATGTCAAAATACAATTAGAAATAAATACAATTAAATAAAATTGGATAAAACAACAATATAATAATTTAACAAAATATTATGATACAACATTTCAAAGTTTTTTATCGAAGTTTAAACTGTACCATAATTTTATTTTACATAAGATAGCAAAGATTTATTTTTCATTTGATACAGTTTCATTTGTATATCGTCAAATGAATAGAAATTAAATAAGTCATTATTTATATATTTTTCCTGTTTAGAATATAACTGAGCCTTTAATTGTAATTTATAAGGGATTTGTGAAGAATAAAGAGTCCTAGATTAGGTCGAAAAAACTTGAAGTTGAGTTAATAAAGCATTTATTAACATACAAATTTACAATTAGTATATGCCCGAATGATAAGAATGTTAATTTCAATAGTTAATTAATCATTTACTTATGCATTGTGATAGGACCAACTATTTTTAAATAGCTAGTTTCTAAATAATGCAATACTTTATTAAGTAATAAAAAACATTAACAAAGTATGAAAACACAATGATTAAGCACATTATAAAAGTCTTTAAAAGTCAAGAATATAGCATTTGTAGCTGTATTTATAAACCTCTTACTAACATCTTTCAGTGTAATTAATACTTAACAGATAACGAATTCACTATTTGCTAATGCTTAATAAATGATTGCTAGTGTGTAGTTATTATAAAGTGTTACCATAATTATTTAGGCATACAGTTTAAATGTATTATTTAATTTACTATTAAATGAATATTGACTATTAGTGGTTTAATGCTAAACTTAGTTTAAGTCCATCTTTTATCCTCGTTCTTTAGATAAATGGCTTTAGACTAAACTGTCTGCTAAATGAATGAATGTAAATGTAGTCCCTACACAGAGTTATTATGTCTTCATGCCTCATTTGTAATGTGAATGAACTGTCCTTTTAATACATGAACACTTCTATAAAAATTTAATTTTATGTAAATGATCTGAATTGCATTAACGTTCATTTACAACGGTGGACAATTTAAATTCCCCATATAACTTTAATCCGTTGATCAAAAAAAAAACTGAGGATGATGAGTTCCCCTGGCAGACGATCTGATGTAAACAAAGGCGTATTGTTTTAGACAGCGTTAATGCAGGCCGAGCGGATGACACTGAATGGCAGTTCACTTTCGCTCCACAGCTAAACACCGCATTCAGATCCTTTCCTCAATTGGCGTGTCTGTTTTGAGTGAAAGTGACTCCCTCTCTTTCCGCAACAGCGCGCACTCGTTTCGCCTCGGTGGCATGTTTGCGTGTGCGTTCGCGGGCCTGTTTAGCACTGCTGACTGACAAATAGGCCTTTTGGAATGTGAAAACGCGGTAAACAATGACACATTCTGTTCCTGTAGAGAGACAAAGCGCTGCGACACCAGAGCCCTGCATCCGGTGCGGATCTGTAACATTCACAAACATGGAAAATAAGCCCTATTTCTAGATAAAAGCCCCGTTTTTTGGAAATCACTGAATGTGCAGACATCGAGAGCCTTTTTAGTGTCTAGTAGTTACATAAGCCCCTTTTGATCCACAGCACAGCACTGTGTGAGTGTTTATATACTGAATCTGAATGAAATGAGAAAATTGAGATATGAAAACACCACAATATGTGAAAGGCCATGCTATGATAGAGAGGGTTAAAGGGATAGTTCACACAAAAATTTAATTTCTGTCATCATTTATATATTGTTTAAGTGTTTTTAACCTTTATGAGTTTCTTTTTTTATCATTAAATGTAAAAGAAGAAGAAAGCTGGAAACCGGTAACCATTGACTTCCATAGAATTAGTTTTACTACTATGTAAGTCAATGGTTACAGGTTTTTAGTTTTCTTAAAAATAGCCTACTTTCTTTTGCTTTTAACAGAAGACACTCATAAAGAGCTTAAAACAGGTAAAAAGTGAGTAAATGCTTAGTAAATGCTCATTTCTGGTGAACTATCCCTTTAAGAATTGCACATGAACACGTACAAAAAGGCAAAACACTATATCTATAATTTTATACACATTTACAGATGTTATGATGGCAGCACACTGCACCACGCCATCACCGCATATCATGATATCAGTTATTATCAGCAGTTTTTATCCATGCTGTAGTCTTTTGCTTTAGTAAGTAGTAGTCTATTTCCGACAACTGTGCTTCAATGTAGTTTTTTTCTGAAGTCTACTTGTTAACCAGGATGTGAGGACAAAGGTGGAACATCCAAGATATGTGAAGATAAAGTTTCACCAGAACCATGATGGAGGGACTTAAAAAGCGAGGAAAAGGATTCTTGTGCAAGGCTGACGAAAGTGAAAAGCCTCAAGGATGAAAGCGACAGCAGTATCCAGTTCAATGTCAAGATAAGCCTCGAGCTGACAGAAACGCAGAGTAGTCGAGCGGTTTGGGTCATGATCATCATCTGCTGGAAGGGCTGGAGGTGTCTGAAAGCGCAGACAATGAGAAACGCTTCGGGTTCTTTGGAGACACTCAAGAGGAGGGTGGTTCATCCTCATGCAAGTCCTCTAGCTCGGCTTCTCTAGGAGCTTCTCCGCTGCTCCCCTTTCTGAGAGAGGAAGAAAAACAGAGACATATTATGAATCATTATCCTTAAATGATCCAGGCACTGATGCAATAGCCGACCCCGAACAGCCAGACTTTTGACTATCTATAGTTTATAAAGTCTGGTCCGCTTTGCAGATTACTTAACTCAGGCCAAGAATCGCCCACATAAGCACAGACGCTTTGGCAAAAAAAAAAGTATCCTGTCAATTAATTTGTTGGAAATTTCCCTGAAATGACGCTGACATAAAGACGTTTATGTTTGTCATTTTTTTTATTGTCATAATTATTAGTTTTCTCTCAGAAGTAAATATTGTTGCAGTGTTGCCAATTTTTTTTTAATGAAAAGGCGCTAAGCTCTGCCCGAAAAGTCGCTATATGTCACTAGAAGATTATGTCATACGTCTAGATACATATTACTGACGTCATCATGTTTTCCGTTTTTGTTTGTTTAACAGCTTATGGTCAATACAGGGGTATTTATATTTATACATGCACCACATTTTATGTATGCAAGTCAATTTGACTAAATATATTGCTGTTTAAATAAAGTATATCAGTATAGATGTGTAGTGAATTTGCAGTAGGCTAATCTCTCAGATGTAATAAACTTAGACAAGTTCCCAAACTGTCACTAAATTATCTGTGATTGTGAACAAGAAAAGATTAAACAGTCAAATTACATTTTTTTAATTCAAAACAAATGAGAAGCAGATCGATTTGACTTTACTAGGGAAATACATAAAATCATAAAAATTATACATATAATAATAAATCATTTGATGGGGGAGGACAGTAAATTTGACGTTATTCACTCCTCTGGCTGTCGTTATCATTGTCTCACACAATTTCTTTTTACCTTTTTCTGAAATTCTTGATAACATCATTGTGGAGTTTTTCTTTTATTATTTGTGCAAATCAGTATGTATTTAATTACTAGTCTCAAAAGTCGCTAAATTTAAAGTTGGCAACACTGCACTGTTGCAGCTTCGTACGATATGTAACACTGTTTAGAAATGTGTGGTCAGGAAGGTCTTTTATTAAAAAAAAAAACTTTTTAATGATTTTATTTAGCAAAGATGCATTAATTTGATCAAAACTTACAGTAACTTGTATATCACCCACCACAAAAAAGAAAATCATTTATGTTTTCTATTCATCAATAAATAGATAAATAAATAATGATTAATAAATAAATTATGAATTCCTCAAAAAATTATCAGCAGAAACGGTTTCCAACATTGATAATATGAAATGTTATACACTCCATATTACTACAATTTCTGAAGGATCATGTAACACTGACAACTGGTGTAAAAATTCAGCTTTGACAACACAGGAATAAATTACATTTCATTTAAGTTTCAATATTACAATATTTCACTAGATTGTTGATCAAATAATTGTATCCTGGGTGAGAATAGAAGACTACTTTCCAAAATATGTAGGAATAAATAATACTTTACAAATACAAATTTGTCTATTAATTACAATTATTATTTAATTATTATTTATTTTGACAGAAACCAAAAAAAAAAAAAAAAATCAGTTTCAGACTGAAAAGGTAAAACAGCGGCTGCTAAGTTCATTTAACATTTTATTTCAGTGTGTGCAAAAGTACATTCCTGTAAATTAGTGATGTAACAGATCCCGAATCTCACGGTTCTGATCACATTATGTTTTTTTAGTCACGGATCACCCAAAAAGGAGGAGAAGACAAATGTAATTTTCTTCCCCTTTAATACAAAAACAGTACTGCAGGAAACTTTTGTTTTTAACAAACAGAACTTAAAACCTGTAATTTAATTTAAAATAAAATGAATAAATAATCAGCTGGATAAAAAAAAAAACAGTAAAATATTCAGTGATGTGAAAAATTCACTGGTACTACTACTGTTGCTGATAATGCTAAATGTAGAAATCTAACATTCTAATTTGAACTATTAATATTTATTTTTAGTCTCATTTTCAATAAATGATTCAGTTATTCACCCATAAAACTTTATGTTTTACTGCTAGATGGATAATTTTTGAAGAATTATTCAGTGGTGTATTTTTGTTGACTGGCTGTCGCCACCTATTGGATAAATAATGTAATTGCTGCATACAACTTTCATTTTTGAGCATATGATGACTTAAATCTTTACCATAAACATCAGTGGTTTTATCTAAATTATATACTGTTCTCCAGTACTTCTGTGTTATTTGACTGTTTGTAACTTCATAACTAACACAAAAGACTAAAAACTGATTCACTTTCTTGATTTTTGCATTTTTCAAACACAGATTTGAATGCAGCAATTTGTAAGATTAATAACAAATACAAATTACCATCATTTTTTGTTGCGTGGGTGTTGAGATCCTGATCTTTTAATGATTAATCATGCAGCATACACTGAATGCATTAATGCAAGCTAAACAAGTAGTAACAGAAAACACCTTTAATAACCTAAGAAACCCACCACATCTCGAATAACCTACCACAACTTCTTCCGGCATCATTATATTTTACAGAAAAACCTAAACGCTTTCATACATGTGATTTGAATGACACAAGTGGCGATCTCTCTTTGACCGTTATAAATTTAGGCTTAAACTAGCAGTAAAAAAATATATTAATCTGCAGGTCACCTGTGTTCTGAACTGTGGGTTGTAATCCGTACGAATCCCCCTTACTGTAAGTGTGCATAACCATAATTTAAATATTGAATCATCTACCTTAATAACACATAACAAACAAACAAATAAAACAACGTGCAATTTAAAACAAACAGGTATAAAGTGTCTGAATGGAAGACTGTTGCTGCAACTATCCAGAAATACTAGACAAGAATAATAATGAGCTCACAAACAATCTTAGAGGAAACACAGATGGACATGGGAAGCTTGTCTGCAACAAACATGACAGCACATAGTGACTGTACACAGTGGGATTCAATGAAGACCACGACATGAGGTGTTTTACAGGACTGGACTCTCCTAACAGTATCATCAAACACTTCCACTGGCATGAAGCGAGAGAAATGCCACACGAGGACAGGATGAGGGCTGACGTGACAGGCTCTCACTGTCACTGACTCCAGGGGAATGCATGGAGGAGCTCAGGAAATCTGACACAGACTAGAATGACAAATGACAATGACCACCTGTCACAATGAGTTACCTTAATGAGGGCTGGAGTTTAAAAGAGGGCCGGAAGGGCCACGAGTCCCTGCAGCAGATAGATAGATAGATAAAGAAAGAGAGAGAGTCAGCAATTTCACATGAGGTACAGCCACACGAGCCAGGTCATTATCCTCCTGCTCACAATCCCAGAATTAAGTTAACCCATTTCATCCCAGACATCAAAATATGCAAATGACACTATTAGAATCACTTTGAAATAAACAAGATTTTTTTTTATTGTCGGTCACAATTGTGGCTAGTGCACTGAATTAACATTTTACTGAAGTCATCAAAAATTGATTAAAGACCACGTAAACTGAAAATCGCTGCAGACTTTTTTTTAGTATGACAGGGTTTCTGCAGATATCTATGTAAAATTTCAGATTTTTAAAGACCTTTTTAAAAACATTAAGTATTAAATTTAAGACCTATATCACAATATCAAAAACACACATACACATAAAGAGAAAATGCTAAATCACAAAATTAGTGGTAAAAATAAATGTAGTCAAATTGAACAGTACTAAAGACAGGTTAGATGCACCATTGAACTACATAAAAAAAAAAACATCTTAAGGCTGATTTATACTTTCGCATGGCGCCACATCATGCACCTCATGAAACGGACGAGGCTTTCATACTGGACGCGTTTGCCATTGAGATATTCTTTTAAATGACAGGGGGTGGTCAAAAGAAACAGACAGTAAAATCAGACAGACAAATAGAGAAGTAGACAGTTTCTGGAACTACGTCAAATCAAGATTTTTTAATTATTTGTTTTTTATTTTTATAATGTATTATAATGATTATAAAGGTTTTTTTTTTTTTTTTTTTTATAAAACTTTGATGATTTTTATTCTGCCCACTCAACAGTTCACACATTACTGTCTGGCTAGTTTGTGTCCTCTTAAAAGCTAAAAAGGCAATAAAGGTCTAACATTCCTGACCATTATCACCAATAAAGCCTAGAAATTAGGCAAATTAAGTAAACTCATAGGTTCATATATTCTTTTCCAGTTATCAAAGACATAATTTGTTACTTAATTTAAGTTTGTAACTTGTAAATTGTTTTAAATTCAAAATTGTAATATATACGTACATCACTGTAAAACCTATGAATAGCGGAAAAACATACTCTGTAATCTTAAAACCACATGGGTCGCCACTTTTGCATGGCCTTTTTTTTTTTTTTTTTTGTTGCAACAAACTTATGCCTCAAGTTTTTCCCAAACATTTACAAAAACTTTCCTCCTTTCCCACGGCTGTTGCAATTTTTAGCCAAGAATTATTAGCCATCTGGTTCACTGTTGACTCGAGTCTCAAAATCTTTTGTGCGGTCCACCAGCTGAAATCATGTCGCGTGCACCCAAACTGAACCGCCGCAAACACAGCGATGACATCACAATTGCCATGCGCACTGAGTTCAATAACAGAAAGCTAATAGGCTATTGCATGTTGGTCTCATTTGTAGTTTTAATAGCGCAAACTTCAATTAGTCTAGTGACATAAAGTACTACAACACCACAAAAACCAAGCAACAACAACAACAAAATTATTCAAATGAGCATTAGATGTAGCTTTACATTGACATTGGAAAAATAAGACCTGTGCAAAAATATTTAAGACCTAGAACAGCAAATTTATAACATTTTAAGGCCAAACAGTTAGATTTTTAAATTTTAGAGTTTTTAAGACTTTAAGACCCTGCGGAAACCCTGGTATAATGACATATTTCTGACTGAAACCTCAAGCAAGGATTTATTTTGTTTACCTTCCTGCTAAGTTTAGCTTCAACTTGCCTCGACACACCTGCCCGAAAGTTTCTAGTATGTCTAGTAAGAGCTTGATTAGCTGGTTCAGGTGTGTTTGATTAGAGTTGAAGCTAAATTCTCTGGGACACTGGCCCTCCAGCACCAAGTTTGGACACCCCTGCCCTACCCATTAGTGACAATCTCTCCCTTATTAGCATAGAATGTTAGTAGTTTTTAAATCTGCCACTTTGCTGACACATAGGCATTTGTAGCTTTCCCCCTCTTTAAAAAAGGGCAGGAAGCACAATCTCATTTTAATTTAAAGTGAAAGTCACCAATATGGCACAATTAAGATCAAAGCATAAAAGAGGCAGTTTCAGAGTTATAAACCATTCTTTTAAAACACATACACTTTCTAGGGACACTTATTTAACATCTTGTAAAATGGAACATAATAGGTATGCATTTGTATATAGTGCGTTAAATTCATTATGTGTGTCATAGACACAATTACAGAATTCATTCTATGACAACACCCAACAAACCATTAATTCATATACAGTATTAACACTAGACACCTTAAACACACAGTATGCAATTTTTGCCTTTAGATGCACATATTCACAACAAACAAAAGCTTATTTTGTCGATGCTTTGACTGATTGTGGAATTGTAAGAGTTGTTGACTTTATAACATCCTAAATGACTCCAGCAAAAATCATGTTTTTGGTAAAACTATGCAAAACTTGAGGAAGATTTGGTGAAGAAGCACTGTTTTATCATACTATATACATTTTAGGGTTCCTTTATACAATGCTTCCCGATGTAGTGCAATACAATATATGACATTAAAGCATTTATGTTGTTTACATATTATGTATAAATAAAACAAGAAATTGGGGTTATGTGATATCATTAGCATGGTGACACACAATGCTAATGATGTCACAATGCTAATGATGTCACTTAACCCCAATTAGCATTGCCACACACAGAACACAGTACGTCACTAATTAAAATAGCTTATTTCTCTGGATTTGTTTAAATGTTTGGGATAATGCAAGTACACATTATCAAGATAATGCAAGTCTGCAAAATCCACAGTGTTCTAATAGTTTTGGGGTTGTGTTAACACAAAAATTGTACAAACTGCATTGTGCCTTAAAGTATAATGTCTTTATCATATCTTTGTGAGTATAATTTATTAACCTTAATAAACAATTTAATTTGAAACAGATTGAAACCTTTTTCCATATTCACAAGACTGTAACTAAAACACCAGTTAGTGACATTTTTAGCGCTTTTTAAATAATAACAAACATGGTGGGATTAAATAGATCAATAGACTGAATTTAAGTAAGGATCACCAATAAAAGTCTGCTTATGAAATGATACTCATCAGATAATCCTTTAGATGGCACATTTGCCTTAACTTCCAGCCTAGAGCTGTCAGAGACAGACCACATTAGCATCAACTACTGAAGAGAGACGCATGTGCCAGGATGCTTATTAAAACTCATCAAATGCCAAGCATATTTGTCCAGAAAAACTGCGTTTATCCTCAGTATTTGACAAACACACTCAAGAAATGTTATCAACTAACAGTCTTTGCAGCATGAGCACATGAATACTGTAGGTTTCCCCACACTCAATCTAGGCTTTATAGATAAAAACAGTATTTTTTGAGGTGCTGGAGGCCAAAAGAAAGTGCTGAAATGTAATAATGTGCAGTCACATTTTCATCACAGCCAACAAATGTGTAGCGAAATGGCAATTTCTGCCATGCTCTCAGGCAGAACTGGTTCAGTGATGTGTGCAGCATTATACCACGTCTAACCAGGCCTCAAGTCACAACACCTACACAAAGAAAAATGTGGCAACACATTTACAACAAATCAGAACCAGGGTCAGACATGGGTTTTCCAGTAAGCGGCAATCTTTGCTGTCTGGGCTTGATTTCTATAGTGGCATTTTATCTTAAAAAAAAAAAAACACTTTTACATTGACCTCATTAACTGTGTCAGTGTTGTCGTGTATGTCAAATTCATAAATGAATTAAACCACAATAATGACAGTGATAACAAATACAACTGTATGCACATTATACAATTTAAAAAGGTCAATACAGGGTAGATTTGCAATACTGTGTAAATAATTAGGTTTGTGATACTAACATCATGGACCAACATTATTTGCATATTTAGCCAGATCATGTTGGTCCGTGATGTTAGCATCACAAACTTAATTGTTCGATAAATTATTTTAATCAATTTCCATATATTTAACTTATATTCTTTTGATATACAGTATGTTTACTTTTAAAGGAAACTAAAGTTAATGTTATTAATGCATGTGCTTCTTGATATAATCACATGCTCAATTATTTTTTTTGATCAATTGAATGGTTGTAATCAATAGGATTCTACCAAACAAACTGTTTATACCAATAATTAAACACAATGCTTTATCATCTGTTTGTATGCCTGTTTATCCACAAAAATACTATCCGCATTGCTCCCTTGCTGTCAGAACATTAAATCATTGAACATGAATCTTCTTGGGTCTTGGAATAATTTTTGATCCGGACACTAATCTAACAGCCTCTGATTGGCTACTGTGTTCATAAGCTTAGCATAAACATGAGTTACAATACTCAGCAATACAATACAATGCAAAAAAATAATAATTTTGAAGCAATGCTTGCAGACCTCAATGTAATGTTGCAAACAGGCATTATTCATAATTTTTCTTATTTGACTGCAATCGTTAAAGCTGTAATAGCTAAATTTAATTATCCAGGGTATTTTTTTTATACCCCTTATATTTTAATTTGTAGATTTTTAAAAATAATTTTGGTGGCAATTTTTCCCATAAGAAAAATTCATTTCTGAGAACATATTTTAGGATTAATATACATTTTCTAGCCTTTTTATTAGGTACATCTTACTACTGTAGTACCCCTTTTTGCCTTCAGAACTGCCTTAATCTTTCATGGCATAGATTCAACAAGTTACTAAAAATATTCCTCAGAGATTTTGGTCCATATTGACATGAAAGCATCACACAGTTGCTGCAGATTTGTAGGTTGCACATCCATGATGCGAATCTCCTGTTCCACCACACCCCAACAATGCTCTATTGGATTGAAATCTGGTGACTGTGGAGGCCATTTGAGAGTACAGTGAACTAATTGAAATGTTCAAGAAACCAGTCTGAGCTGATTCACACTTTATGACATGGTGTGTTATTCTGCTGGAAGTGTAGTCATAAAGGGATGGACATGGTCAGCAACAATACCCTGAACTGCCCACAGAACTGTCGCTCACTGAATATTTTTTTATTTTTTGAGACATTCTCTGTAAACCCTAGAGATGATTGTGCGTGAAAATCCCAGTAGATCAGCAGTTTCTGAAATTCTCAGACCAGCTCGTCTGGCACCCATGTTCAAAGTAAATTAAACTATCTTTCTTCTCCATTCTCATGCTCATTTTAAACTGCAGCAGATCATTTTGACCATGTCTAAATACCTAAGTGCATTGAGTTGCTGCCATGTGATTGGCCTATTAGACATTTGCGATAATGAGCAGTTGGAAAGATGTATCTAATAAAGTGGCCGGTGAGTGTAGATGTGAATTGGCAAGTCAAGAGTTCTTGCTGTAAAACATTTTCATTCTGACAAATGAATGTCTAATAGATGCAGAAAAATAACGCAATGTAATAAATGCAACCTTTGTGAATTTCACAAGGAATGAAATTGCTATCCCAGTGAAAAAACTGCAGTCGACTAAATAAAATAATAGTGAACACCTCAGAGATGGGTGGACATTGTGTGTTTAGTACGTACAGTAAGTGTGTGTTTAGATGAAAAAGGTTATAAACGATGCAGGAGGTGGTGTATTCCACCTGCCAGTGAATTATGGATGACATGCAAATGAGCACCGCTGACAGATTTAAAGTCATGGAAGGATTTTCAAAATGATGGTGGTGCCTTTCCACCGGCTGGGGGCGCTGCTGCGTTTTTTCTATTCAATCAGAAACACCACTTGCACAGTAGCAGCTGACAAATGGCTCATAAAAAAATTATAGAGGTAAATGAAAATAAAATCAGCTGCCTTTTTGGAAAAGCAGTCACCGGTGTCTGCTGAGTCACCGTATTGATCCGTCTCATTCAGATTGCCCCTTTGTCAACAGAGAGAGGCCGTACCAAGCAAGCATGTCAATTTGTTTGCAGATAATCAAATGACCTTTCAGTTTTGATTGCATGAGCAATAATTGCATTCAGCACATCTGAAAACACAATGCAACCTATCCCAGACAGCATTCAGCGCTGCGGTAAAATATGTGCAAGGCTGAATCTGGTCTATAACAGATGCATACAGAGTAAGCAGACTGTTTGTATTGATTGGGTTTAAGAAGAGCGGGATGATTCTGACAGGCATCTAACGGACAGCAAGAGTGAGAGAACATCCTGCTGTCCTTGAAAAGAAAAAAAAATTCTCTAATGTGGGAAAAGCAGAAGAGTGGGGACAGAAATGACTTCATGGAGACACTTACTGTCAGTCTAGTGGGCAGATACATTAACAGCAAAAAGCTTCTGAGAATAACTGTCACTGGAGGGACGGGACAAACAACATCCACAGAAATTCAAAGAAACTCTGTCATTGCAAAGACCTCTCTGAATGTGCATATTATATTATATTATATTATTTATATTTAATTTATTTTTGTTTTAAATTTAACTTAAGACATATGCTGGATAAGTTGGCGGTTCATTCCCCTGTGGCGACCCCAGATTAATATAGAGACTAAGCCAAAAAGAAAATGAATGAATGAATGAATGAATGAATGCGAATGAGAAACGGCACTTGGCAACTAAATATTTTAATGAAAATTGTTTTATTTAGTTAACTACAAAATTTCCAATTTGTGTGCATGTGTACTTGTTTATGTGGCTAACAAGAACCCAGAACATGGGTATGACCTATGATGCTATTTTTAAAGGTGGTTTATGAGGATAAGTCTTTTATCCTTTAAAGTTATAATATGTAGTAGCGTCTCTTGACATTCAAATGTTTTACAGTATAAAATGCATACATGTATGTGGTGTGTGTGTATATATACCCCAAGGGGTATGAATAATTTGGGGCTTGCTGCCATTAGCTTGTCTGAGCAGACCAAAGAAAGTGATGGTTGACGTTCCACCACAAGATGGCGACAAAGACTGCATAATAAATCCTTAGAGGAAGAAAAATTGCATACTTCCATACTAAAGAGTAGGCTAAATCAGCATGCGAGCCGAGTAGTATGTCAGAATTTATAGAATTGGAAAAACAATATGTACCTGGAGGACCTACTGCCTCACATACTGTGATTCTAAATTGCGCATCGGTTGGATGCTACCCTATCCCATGATGCACCACGAGAGAATTCATAAATGGGAGTGAAGCAATGCAACTGACATGGGTAGGTCATGTGATCATGACAAAATGGGGAATGTAGTATGTTCGAGTTCCATTCACACTACTCACATTCATACTGTATAGAACATATTTTTCAATTGGCCAAGTAGTACATTTAAATTCAAATGCATTACCTACTGAGTAGTAGGCAATTTTGGACGCAGACATTATTTTCTCAATGTAAGTCTCAAACTACAGCTGAACAAATCATTATAAATCAGGCACATGACATTCTAAGTCAATCTCTCTCTTTTGTATTTTGTAGTGCTGTATTTATACCACAGAAACTGCTAGTGTTTCCTTTGCTTTTGTTTATCTGGGTTTAATTATTGTTATATGCTGTTTGCAACAGAGAAATACTGGGAAATCTCTGTAGACTGATGGCATTTCATGTCTATCAGTCTTATATCTTAAAATGTCAGCAAAAATTACCTGTTTTGACATCACTGTAGACATTATGCTAGAGATTGTTGTTAACATGCAATATCACACTCGTAGCAGTACAATATGGCTGTATATTGGCACTGGTAGGGGCACTAAGGCACTTAGCCTGCAGACTCAAGCCAATGCACGCCTCCCACCAGTGCTGAAATACAGCCATACCGCACTGCTCCTCATGTAATATTGCTCATATATATTCACTCATTTATTTTATTTTCACACACACACACACACACACACACACACACACACACACACACACACACACACACACACACACACACACACACACACACACACACACACACACACACACACATCCATACAGTATATACAGTCAATAATATACACACAAGCAAACATTATTTTCCTGAAGTACAATCTCATCTGCAAAATATCAGATAAATAAAAAACTAAAAGATTAAATGTGAAGTCTAAATGATGGATAAGTGAGTCAGCCATCTCCTCAGTGCTGTGCGGAGGAGAAAGTTATAGACAGGAATTGAAAACATTATGTCCTGGAGCTTTCAATGCTACTGCATGAGACCAAAAAAAATCTACTGAATCATGCTACTATGGAAACGTATGTTGGCAGCAGGAGAAGTAATGGGTGACTATTAGCACACCTTCCTGTTCAAACAGACAGACATGACGTTGAAAATATCATGCTGCAATCTTGAATGTGCGAGTTCAGAAAGCAAAGAATGAAAGAGATGCAATGCTGAAATCATTTCAGCCTCTTTTATATATATATATATATATATATATATATATATATATATATATATATATATATATATATATATATAAAACTTTTTAGGAAAAGTAGAGTCATTTGGATTTGTGCGGCTACATAACTAGTTTCCAGTTTATTATGGCTTTGGTTCTAGTTTGTGGTTTGGAGCACTTACATGAGCAAACTGCCGGGTGCAGACATGGATCTCTCTTCTCTCCTACTGGGACACTCAAATGGATTCCCAAAGGAACGCTTCCTTAACATGGCTTTGACTAGTATCTGAAATATTTAAAACAAGTTTTCACTTACTGTATATATATTAAATAATTACAAATCAGGGTGTATGATAATACAACAAGTCCAAACACAACCAAGAGAATCGGATGAACATTAGACAGAAAATGATATATTCTTTGCATTTACCGAAATGTGAGAAGGACCAAATCCAAGAAAAGTAATCAAGAGAAAGCTGACAGCAAGGTCAGTTTGACATGTGTTAGGGTTTTCAGTAATTTGTTTGAGGTTGGGTGTGTCTTTACCTTCTTATTCATTCAATCCTTGACATGTTGAATGCATTAAAAACACCTGGGCAGGTTAATGGCCTAAGAGTGTTCATGTTTTTGTAACTACCTCAGCAACATTTATTATGCACAGAAGCTTTTCTAGTTCACTTACCACAGCAGACAGACTGGGGACAAACTTGACAGAGTTCTGCACCTCCTCTTCAGTGACCTCCACCACAGTACAGTGCTCTTCTTCTAAAGGTAAAGGGTCTTTGCCATCCTGAGTCACCCACGGGTCAACCTGAACACACACACAGAAACAGACAGTCTGAGCACATGCCAACCTTCAGTCCATCCAATCTACTATTCTTTCTTCCACCAAACTTGTCCAACCCTCATCTATCTTTCCATTCATCTAACCTATCTTTCCATCCATCCATCCATCCATCCATCCATCCATCCATCCATCCATCCATCCATCCATCCATCCATCCATCCATCCATCCATCCATCCATCCATCCATCCATCCATCCATCCATCCATCCATCCATCCATCCATCCATCCATCCATCTATCTATCTATCTATCTATCTATCTATCTATCTATCTATCTATCTATCTATCTATCTATCCACTGCATCCATCCATCCATCCATCTATAGTATCCATCCATCCATTCATCCATCCAAACATCTAACTTTTATTCCAATCCACTCCAGCTGTCAAATTCATCAATCCTTTCATATATCCAGTCACTTTTTATAACCTTATATCAGTCCATTCATCTTTTTCTCAATACATCCATTCATGCATCTCTTCATCAAACCAGCAGGCCACTAAAGGAATAACCAATTTGTCCTATAAACAAAGTTATTCTGAAAGATATGAGGGTTGAGTTGCTGAGTGAATGTAGGCCGCACAGCTCTGATTAACGTGTGCTCTGGGGATCGTTGCTTTAATGGAACATTTTCTGGGTAATGACATGCAGGCAAGAGTCTCTGATGGCCGAGTGTGTGTGTGTGCTAATTATTCACACTCACTGCCACTCTATTACAGCAGATGGACGTTTCCAGAACCAAACCAAAATCCCTCTCCATTGGGATAAGCTGATGTGTTTCTATCCAAATTTCAAGTCAGCTTGATAAAGCAGAAGCTATCAAAGGTACTGTGTCATATTTCAACAACATGCCTGAATGTGTCTCCATGATAAAAACAGGGCTGGTATTGTGAGAGAAAACTAATGAGACTTACTCTCTGGAATGTTCTTGGTATATTTCTTTTAAAGATGCTGACTATAATTTCAATATTTAAAGAGGATATACTGTCTTGCCAGTATAGAAGAAAACAAAGAATTTCTGAAGGAAAATGCACAAATTAATAATGCTAAGTCTGCCGAAAAGGCCAAATGCAAACATATTTTTGTGTGTAAGAAGATATACTCTAGTCTTTAAAATATCTTGCAATACAGATTTGTGAGGATGAACGTAAAACGGATTACTTGCCACTCTGGATTTCAGAAATGCGCCTTGTGTAGACTTACTTTGATCTCAGGAATGGTGATCCTGGTGTCTGGGTTTTTGTCCAGCATTCGTGAGACCAGGCTCTTCAGCCCCTCGCTGACAGTCGGTCTAAGATATCACAAAAACACAGAACAAACAGCTGAAGTGGTAAAAAACTATATCAGAACAACAACAGCACATTTTTATAAGGCATGAGACTCACTGGAGGCATAGGAATTTCAATGTTAACCCCAAAACTGATTCAGAATGCTTCATGAGAGCTGTAGACCACTAAACAAGCTGAACTTCAAACTGCACTGAAAAACTCTGCAAGTAACCCCAGGTACTGTATAGGAATGTTTACCACAAACGGGTTATGAACCCCTGCTCCTTGCACTGCTTTTGCATAATTTACACCACATTGTAATGCCAAATTCTGCAGCAACACAGTAAAATTATGCACAAATCAGTGATCACATGGTTCATATACACAAGCATAGCATTCACAAAACCACCATGTGTTGTATCTTTTTCAAATAACATAATTTCAGCATTTGTTAAAAGAAAACATTTATTACCTGTATAGTCTAAAACATACATCCATTATACATTTAATAGCACTAATAAATGTAAAAAAAACATTTATATACATTTTATAGCACTAATGGCACATATGCTGCTGATGATGTGAAATGATTTGATCTGACAATATCAAACATATTATGGACAATGTATAATATACTTTATTATAATATAGAATATATTTTGGGCAATATATATACCGTCTTTCAGATGAGACGTTAAACCGAGGTCCTGACTCTTTGTGGTTGTTAAAAATCCCAGGATGTCCTTTGAAAAAGAGTAGGGGTTTAACCCTGGCATCCTGGGCAAATTTGCCCGCTGGCCTCTGTCCATCATGGCCTCCTAACCATCCCCATATCAAAATTGGCTTCATCGCTCTGTCTCCTCTCCACCAATCAGCTGGTGTGTGGTGTGCGGTTTGGCGCAATATGGCTGCCGTCACATCATCCAGGTGGATGCTGCACACTGGTGGTAGATGAGGAGATTCCCCCAAAAATGTGTAAAGCGCTTTGAGTGCCCAGAAAAACGCTATATAAATGCAGGGAATTATTAATTATAATATCACGCAAAATTGAAGAACAAAATGTAAATGCTGTTTTTAGTCAGTTAAATTTAAGTGCAACATGCAAATGATGTGTTAACTCAAAGATGAAAACGTGCAGAAAATATCTCTTGGCTGAAAATAAATCTCAAATATCTCTATATCTATACAACTAATTCTTCTTGTGCTTAAGGCAAAGAGTTAATGAAACTGGGTGAAGTTCAAGCTTTAAAAGGAAAGAAAAAAAAAGTGTGTAGAGAAGATGCGTGGAAGGCTATCAGATTAGGTATGCTGATTTCGGTTAATTTTGATAACCGACAACTGCAGCTCGTTAACCGAATATTAACCGTTAACTGGTCAATTTAATATTATTATTCATTAATTTTCTTTTCGGCTTAGTCCCTTTATTAATCAGGGTTCGCCACAAGGGGATTGAACTGCCAACTTATCCTCCAGCTGTAACCCATCACTCGGAAACACTCATAAATTCTCATCCCCACATATACACTACGGAAAATTTAGCCTACCCAATTCACCTGTACCACGTGTTTTTGGACTTGTGGGGGACTTGTGGGGGAAACCAGAGCACCTGAAGGAAACCCACACAAACATGGGGAGAACATGCAACCTCCACACAAAAATGAATGTGCTATCCACTGCGCCACCGCGTTGCCTAATATTATATTATTATTTAATTTAAAAAAAATTGACGTGTCTATTTTGTGTCTGACACACTAAATATTGCATTTTAAAATATTGATTTATTTTAACATGTGCACATATTAACAACAAAACATAACAACAGCATGCATTTCCACCAGCATAGAAACAAAGAATAAAATAAATAAAATAAATAGGCCGGCCCTAGATATTTTTCACTTAAATGACAAATTTAGATTACAAAATGAAAACACTGACTGAATCCTTTTTAAAAACCAGAATAGGCAGTTTTTTTCCCCATCATATGTTTTTTTCTTTCTCAAATAAAAATAGCAGGCTACCTCAAATCGATCCGACACTGAAAATATGTTAAGTATTGTGTAAGTATAGGCTACTATAGCACATAACAATTTTGTTTTTTACATATGATATTGTATTAATTTACATACATGTTTTATAAACTGTAACATTAAAAACAACAATAGCCTCTTTTTGTTGCGGAGTTATCATTATGCATAAATCAAGAAAATCTTTGGATTTGTCTGATTTGTACATTAGGCTGTGTAGGCTTTTTCTAATAACCTTATTTTGTTATAACTATTCAAAACTTTATTTTGTTACAACTATTCGTACCTGTCATTTTCCAAAAGGAAAAAAAGGTTGGTTTGTTGTTTGTACACTAAATCATCACAACTTTAGCCTATTTGTGGTATTTATGAGCTGTGCCAGAGCGAGCTCTGATGGAGAGGAAATCACGACGCTCTGATTTGTGACCGGTTTGTTTTCAAAACATCGCACAAGTTTTGTTTTGCGGCTTTTTTCTCCAACTGTCAAGAAAACAGAAATCAGCATCAGCGCTGGTTTGGCATTAACACTGTCTCAAACTTTGACCAGCAATATTCTTCTTAAAATATGAAGAAAAAATATGTCTGTTGGCACGTGTGGTTGCTTGTGTTACCATCCCGCAAGTAAAAAAATATGTGTCGCACATTTATGCAGCCAATTAAAAAAATATATATATATTTTCTAATCATTTAACTTATACCATTAATCGGCTAAAAACACACCCTTTCAGTTAACGGTGAATGGGTTATTTTAAACATCCCTATATCAGATGGTACAATTATAGAAAAGTTTTTAAAGCAGTGTTTATTGTAACAACATAAAATTGGCAGACAAGGGAATATCAGATAATGCAAATATAATACAATTCACAGTTTTTGAGGTTAGTACAATTTTTCTTTGAAAACCTTGATGTACATTTGACATAAACACATTGATGCTATTTTCACCACCAAAATAATCACACAAAAATATAAAATAAGAATGGTTTTATTCATCTGACATCTAACATAGGCACCAAAAACATAGATAAGTCTGACAAATATGACAGTTTTGTTTTCAGTTTAATTTGTTTTTTGATGCCAATGTTAGATGTTGATTTAATATAATTTTGAAATCAAATCAATTTTAATTTCTGATGCATTTTTGATGTTGTTTTGACATTAAGGTGCATGCTGGGTAATCAGACCAACTGTTTCTGTATTAATAACCAATGGTGTAAATAGTTTTATTTAGGAATTGTAATGTGTACTTTTACTTGAGTACCCTGAGTACATTTTCACTTTTACTCCACTATTTTTCTCCGTTCTGCAGTCACTACTTTATTTTTTCTTGACTATGGTGATTGGCTTATTAAAAATAACTATGAAAAATTAGTCGCATCATTCTAAACAACCCCAAGACATGGGCGCTTTATAAATGTAGAAAACCATCTGGAAGCATTAAAAGTGTCCAAGAAGATGTCCAAAATCTTTATGCGCAATGATCAAGAGACTGTTTAGACTGCATGTCACTGATGAGACGATGAAGGAAGTTTACTCTATGATGACTGAAATGGGCAAATGCCCTTAAAAAATGACTAAATCCACTACAGAATGTTACATTTTCAAACAAACGCACAAATTGCATGTAAATGCAGCAACGCCTTTCACAAGCGTAATACTCACTACTTTAATAATAAAGTACGTAATACTCAGTACTTTTAAAAGGGCTACTTTTTACTCATACTTTAAGTAATATTTACAACAGATACTTTTTCTTTGCTTGCACTACATTTTTGGGCCGGTAAAGGTACTTTTACCCGAGTGTGAATTTTCAGTACTCTTTCCACCATTGTTGATAACAGGAAACACTTTCAAATCAGCACATAAGACTAATTTTTGTGCAATCATGTGACACTGAAAATAGCTTTTTCAAAGGAAAAAATGTAAGCTGTAAAATGTTTTTACTTTACATTATTATAAACTATGATAAATTAATTTCATAATTTTACTGTTGTTGATGAAATAAATTCAGCCTGTGTAAAAAAGAAAGTCTTTTAGAAAGTGTAAATGTCAAAATTATAAATGATAGTGTACACAGCATATGATATAAATCACATTCTACTAATATAAAAAATCTGATAATTGAAAAACCTAAAATATACTGAAGGGTTCTGCTGGCAAAAATACTGAGAGCCCCTAGTCATGTAGACACTATTTTACTGAGAGCCACTGACACTGTGATATGTTTCAGTTAGTTCAGCCACTGAGAACACAACAAGGAGCAGTGTGTGTGTGTGTGTGTGTGTTTGTTTGTGTATGTGTGTGTGTGTGTGTGTGTGTGTGTAAGATAGACAAGTTGCTCTTTTATTAGCTGATGACTCCAAACACAGGCACCAGATGACATGCATCCGGATGCCCTCTGGTCTTTCACACACTTCATCAGCACATCATTTAAACAGACCTGCACAAGCATACACAAATATCCTGCATAAACCAACATGAATCAGCTTTACATTCGCTGCACTCAAACATCTCTGACATTTCCTTTCTCTGCATCTGTTCCTGTGGGGTGACTTACGTGTCGGGGAACTCCACCACTTTACTCTTGATCTTATTGTGAAGAGCCAGTATGTACTCATCAATAAATGGGCACTGGAGGACGAGGAAGAGAAATAAAAAAAGAAGACAGACGGATGAGTGATCTAAATCATCAATCACACAAATGTCACCGCAGCAGCAGCAGCGGCAGCCCGTCCATTGATCATTCTGATATATAATCCCACAATGAAGAATTACTGCTATCACTCTGATCATATCAGCGCAAGAGGAAACTCACCTTCCCATAGACGAAACAGTAGAGGGTCACTCCCATTGCCCACACGTCCAGAGCCTAAACAGAACACAACTTCTGTTATAGTGATGTAGGACAGTTTTAGGTTGCATTTACACTAGCTTGGTCCACAACCGGGTTCATTTGATGTCAGAGTTCTGTAGGTTTAGCTAGTGTGAACGTTGCATATCTGTCAACCCTCCTGTTTTTCCTGGGATTCTCCCGTTTTTCACAGTTCTATCCGGTTATCATCCCGTAAAGATATTTTCCCGTATTTTAAGTCTTTCTCTGATGGGTAGCAAATAAACATTAAAGAGCAGAGCCTCCCTATACGCAACCCATACCGCCGAACCACCAGAGGAAACCCCTTGCTCTTAAATGGTCTGTTCTGTGCTTTTGTTTTATTTTGGCATGGAAATGGTGGGATTCTCTTTTCTTTTTATTACAGGTGCCGTCTCCCCTCCTATGCAATCTTATAAACAGTGGTGCGTGACTCTGACGCTGTTTCCCAAACAGATTCTGTACATGTGATTATTAAAGTGACACCTGTTATTTAATGTAATTAAAGGAAAAATCAAAACAAATGATAGATTCATTCGGTGCTCTTTAATAAAAATGTGTAAGTTATGCAGTGGAGAAAAGATAAATGAGGTTTGATAACTTAATTCTATTTCTTTATAATAGCTATTAATTTGATTAAGCTGAACTGTTTGCTAAATTGTTTGCTGCTAATGCAAATTATTTAATTTTATTTTGTTAATAATAAAACATATCACTGACCTATTTAACTGTTTATTTACAATGAAACCGCTCCAGAAGAACATATTTAGTAATTTGGGGATCCTAGGGACCAGTGAACTGTACCTGAGTCTACCTGAAATAGGTGGTCTGGTGTACAGTTCGTGCAAACTCTGGTACGGTTCACTTCTGATATGAATGCAATCATACCAAATAACAGAAGTGAACTGCCAACTGTACCAACTGTTTTCATAACGATCATTCATGTGTGTATGTCTGTGTATCACCTGCCTTGGTGACAAGTTGGACTGACCCAATGCGAACAGTGATAATGTTTGCTTGCCTCCACCAAAAACAACTTCAGGTTTTAATGGTTTTTGTGGCAGATAGATGCAAGTCGCTCTCTGTATTTTGGTTTTGGTAGCAAAACCAAAAGATTCAGTAAAAGCAGAATGACAGTGATATGCATATGTCTCCATTTTGATGCTTTGCTTTAATGGCCGTCACCTAGCAACAGCTGTACATAAAACAGCAGCTTGATGATGCAAACATATCAGGGATCAGAAGGAAAAAAGACTATGTGAATACAAACCAGCTGATGGGGGACAAGCGAACTTGGGTTAGGACCTGGCATTTGGACCAAGTGTGAAAGCAACCTTACACACATTGACATTTTTTAAAGAAACATTTAATCTAATATTCAAATAGTTTTGCCAAATTTATGATTTTCTTTTTTTTTTTAAATGCAAAACAGAATTTTTTGAATTGAAATAATTAGAAAAATAAAATCTGTATATTTTCAAGAACTTATTAAATTTTATTTTTATCATATTATAATTATTTAAAAAACTGGAAGTTTAAAAGCACTAAAGAAAGTATAAATTTGTCATCTTTTACATTATTGTCAATATCAGTATATATACATACATACATACATACATACATACATACATACATGCATACATACATACATACATACATACATACATACTGTACATGCATGCATGCATACATGCATACATACATGTGATGATTAAAATTATTTTTGTGATTTTCAAATTCACTTTTGATCAATTTATAGCATTTTAGCAGAGTAAAAGTAATAGTTTCTGGAAAATAAACAAAAATGTACAGAACTTAAAATTACTGTTATTTATTTAAAATGTATACTGTCATCAGTGCTTTTAAACTCCCTGTTGTGTTAATATTCGTAATGTGACAAAAATAAAGCCACTATGTTCTTTAAAATAAACATATTTTATATTTCATTTATTTATTTTTTTTATGTGGTAGCCAAATGTGATGATTGCAAGTTTGATGAAACTGTGGTTGAAAATGTGGTTTTAATTGACAAAATTATGTGGCAAAAAAAAAGGATTTCAAAAATCTAAGAAGAAATTAAGTTTGCAAAAACTGGAATAATCAGTTATTAATATGTTACTGGTTCTCATTTGCATCTGATTTGTAGTTATTATAATGCACAAACAGAAATGAAACAACTGAAATGTGGAACACATATAAAGTGTAATATTCTCAATTGCTTTAAAAATGAACAAAACATTACATTATTTCATATATAAATGTATTATTATTTACAACACTCCAGACATCACTTTGGGCACTACGACATGGCCACTACTACAGTAAAGAATACAGCAAGAATAAAATACTAGTCAAAAAAGAAAAGTTAAAATAATGGGTAATGTAGCAATGTCTTATTCATAAATAAAAAGTCCTTTAGAGAACACTTTTCAATGATATCCTTTACAAAATCTGTTTGAATGATTGGCCCATCACAACCCATCAGCACAGCCACACATTACCTTTCCACTGAAGCTCTGCCGGTTGTCTGACAGCGTCTCTGGAGCCATGAATGCAGGAGTCCCTGCAGTGCTGGAGAGCAAGGCATCGTTCCCCTCAAACTGGTTACTGACCCCAAAATCAGCAATCTTGACATGGCCGTCATCTCCAAGCAATAAATTTGATGGTTTGATATCCCTGTGAACGATCTTCTGATAGTGCACTGAGCCAAAAGAGAGAAAAAAACAGTAATGAGTATTGAGAAATAATATTCAGTATGCCATCAGTATCTATAAAGAGAACAATGAGCTGTTTCAGATAGTTATTTTGCTGACTAGATTTAGGAGATCAATCAAACTCATTCGTTTATTCAGAAAAACTTTTAATCAAATGAGGAATATATTTCAGGGTTATCTCTATTTTCTACAACTCCTCCTAGGGATTTTATCAGATCAACACCAAAATTAGGTTTTGTCATCTAAAGGCCTTGGTGTTGTCAAATTATGATGACTGAGTTTTTGTCGAAGGGCATCTGTTGTGGCCACACAAACTTTGATGTTTCGCCATGAAACAGGAAGTTGTTATAACACAAAATTCACATGTTTGATAACAGGCTTGATCTAAACCTGTTTACAGTAAATGCCAATATCCAGTTGTAGTGCCACGTGCTGGCAACAGGAAATTACATGTTTTACTCTGTAATAAACTTCTCCTAAAGATTGAATCCATTTCGTCAGTAAAATCCAAAGGCCTGTTTCCTGTTTACTTGTGAAGATCTAGAGTTTTTGTCTTGCGTTTAATATACAAATGAAGTCAGAATTTTTAGCTAGTACAACAAACCCCTTGGAACACAAGTGCAGTACAGTTATTATCACACTATTGGCATATTAGACTATAGCAGCACAAGTGCAGTAAAGACAGTAAAGAGTTTACTTGTTTTTACTTTAGTTTACTGCAACTTTTACTGCTGTTGAACTGTATTTTACTGTATTTGAACTGTATTTATTCTTCATTGTATTGCAATTTTGCAATTGTACTTAGTTTTACTGCAATTATACTTCTATATACTGCGGTTGTACTGCAGTTATTTTTTGTAAGGGAAGTCATAACTGAACTAAACAGATATGAAATTAAGACATGTGGAGTATGCATTTATTAGTGTAATATTGAAGTAAACACTGCAATTAAAATGTTACCATCATATATCTGCGCTAAAATATTAAGGTGAAAGTCATCATAACTTGCGTAGAACAAACCCAGCTCCCAATCCAACTTTGAGAATAGATTATATATATATATATATATATATATATATATATATATATATATATATACACACACACACACACACACACACACACACACACACACACACACACATATATATATATATTCTTTTTACAATATTTCCCAAATGATGATTAACTGAGCAACGAAATTTTCACAGTATGTCTGATAATATTTTTTCTTCTGGAAAAAGTCTTATTTGTTTTATTTTGGCTAGAATAAAAGCAGTTTTTAAATTTTAAAAAAACATTTTAAGGTCAATATTATTAGCCCCTTTAAGCTATATATTTTTTCGATAGTCTACAGAACAAACCATCGTTAACAACACAACATGTTTTTCTTTTTCATTTCATTTTTGATCCAAGGAATCACATAATCAAAATTTGAATCAGATAGATTTCATGATTTTCTTTCAGTGTCACGTAAATTTTTTTTTTCAATATCACCAATACAAAAACTGATGGTTGTTAATTTTTGGGATATAAGAGTAACAAATTGGTGATTTTTAAATTATTATAAAGAGTAATACATAAATCAATCATATAATTTTAATAATATATAAGTTATAATATTGTACAAATTAATCAAATCTAACCTGCTCGATCTGTATAATCTTAGTTTGTTATTAATCTATTCGTTTGACAAGTTATATTTAGAAACATTACAAACAAACAAACAAACATTTTTTGTGTGAGAGTGAATCTTCAAGGCAAAGTTAAAAAAATACTTCTAGATCCATTAATACATCAATATAAATTTGTGATTATTTGGAATCAGAAAAAAAAAATCTGAACATGAAAACAAATCCAAACTAACACAGCATTGCTTAACTTTGACAGTTTTGGTCTGACGTCCCTAGGGAAGGAAAGCCATTCCAGAGTGGAACACATTTTAACATTGCTATTAAAGATAATCAAGTCAAAATATTGTCATGAATAGCAGCGATGTGAGCTAACAAAGTAAATAGTGCAAATTTAGATTTCATGATGGCTATTAAGCACAATTGAAGAGGCAGCATAAAATCAAGTGTGTCTGAGCACAGGAGGTCTCAGCTTAAATCCAGCAGAATAGCTGAAAAAGGTCACGAGCAGAAGCTGAATTTGACTGGTTAAAAGATGCCTCAAGTGGTCAATCAGAGATAACCTGTCCTTCACTTAACATCTTTCAGTCATGTGTCATTACTGCTAATATATGACAAGAGCCACATGTCAGACATCTTCAGATGACAAGCATGTTAATGAAAAAAGAAAATCCATTAAGGAACAAAGACGCGTGTTCAAAGTACTAGCAGGTTATTGAATATAATTATTTCATCAAAGTCAGCAAGAGTGGTGAATGTGACACAGAAAAAAGCTTATGTAAGATCATGACTATACGCTTTTAGAGTGTTGTACAGTAGATGTGCTTCTGCTTCTTGTGTTATATGTGTTTTACAACATTAATAAACATAATAACTGTAATGACTGATTTCTACTAACTAATTTCTTTTCCACGATGACAGTACATAATATTTCGCTGGTTATTTCGCAAGGTACTAGTATTCTGGTCAAGTGTAATTTAAAGGCTTAATTAGGTTAAATAAATTAACTTGGCAAGTTAGGTTAATTAGGCAAGTTAATGGATAACAGTTGTTTGTTCTGTAGCCAATCTAAAAATATACATAATAGTATAATGTAGGTATAGGCACAGATCATTTCAGCTGTATTTAATACTTTGTACTGTCAAAGTCCCTTTAGGGCAAGTCACTTCATTCGACTGCCATCTCTGAAACACCTCTCGAGCAGTATACTCAGGCATTCTGTCTGAATGGGTAAACATCAAATTCTCCAAAACTGCCAAGCTTTCGATTACATTACATATTTGGAGTAGGCTTGGGCGGTATCCAAATTTTGATATCGTCAAACCACCTCCCTATTTTACCTCGGTATCCGGTATTACCGTGCATAATAAAAAAAATGATGACGTACAGTTCAGACAGCGTCACCAAACTGTTGACTTGTGCCTAAACCATTTCGAAACTGAATACCGTATATGCGACCTTAGGTTCGCGATCACCTGTTTGTCTTGTTCGTATTAGAGATCTGAGCGGGATGCTCTTTCTCATTCACATGCACGCACACATGCACGCACGCACGAACGCACGCCCACCCACACCCACACACACACCCAGAGCATCCACACGGATGTGCGCGTGCTAGCTCGTTCGGGAGGGATTTTGTTAGACCGCACACCCACTCCCTTTCAAATTACACCAGTTACCGACTTTTTTTTTATTCTGAAATTTATTCCAGCACCACAGAAAATCTGGTCAGCTCCCGCGGTACAGCAGTGGGAACGCAGACCTCTAGTTTGTATTTACCCCATCTCCCTTCTCGTTCGGTCGAAACTGGAAATACTGCCAAACTGCAGGTCACTTGGTGTGCGACTTGCTTACCTCACCTCTCTCTCTCTCTTTCTCTCTCTCTCTCTCCTCCACACTGTCCCATGATGACAATCACGCAATCCCATTTGTAAGCATTAAATAAATAATATTTATTATTCAATTCTTGTCTCCTATTTAAGTGCATTGTTTTTTTATGACGGTATAATGGCATTAAAATTGACACCATTGCTATTTTTAGACCCTGCGGTATACCATATTACCGTATTACCGCCCAAGCCTAATTTGGAGTCACCAATTAAATAAACATCGTCTGTCTCATAAGTTTCATATCTAAATGTCAAAATTAAACAAAATCTGCATATTTTCAGGTTGCCCATAATGCGCATGCACACTTGAAAGGAATGAGATCATGACACCAACCTCATTTATGGCCAAGAAGTACCCGGATAATCTACCCTACCACTACCAGCAAGATTCTAATATATACCCATATATATTAGAGAAGTACCCAGATGACCTACTTCTACCAGCAAGATTCTTATATATATATATATATATATATATATATAAGAATCTTGCTGGTAGAAGTAGGTCATCTGGGTACTTCTCGCCTATACTTTTTTTCCAATCCAGTGAATTCAGACATACTACTTGGCTCGCATACAGTTTTTAACAAACCATGTGGTAGGGAAGTATGCGATTTCGGAAGTAATCGATTTTTGTCCTCAAACAGTAAAAAAATTAAAAATTGTAAAAAAATACAAAGCAAAACACATTCCAACTGGCTGTCAATGACATATCTTTAAAGCATATTTCAAAGATTTCCTTCCTCTTATTTAATTACATTATAACTTTAGTCAGTAAATTTATTTTAAATTATAATAATGTTTAAAATGCTCTTTATCAATTCAGTTACTGTCCCTGGTGTGAACGTTCTAAATTAATAACAGTGACATGGCTCCCTGTTGCAGCTAGCATAGTGCTAATGAAACAAACAGAATATGGATGTTTCCTCTGATTGCAGTCCACAAATTACCAGCACAAACAAAGGAGCTGGTTGTGAACAGACTGATTTGTGCAAATGGCCTGTTGCCATCCAGACGGTTGCCGTAGCGAGTGTTGCCTGGCTAGTAGGATTCAAATGAACTGATGAAAGCCGCGTTTCCACTTGATGAGCAGAAACAGACACTTCAATCAACTCTGCTGAGCTCATTCCTCTTGTTTGAGCGGCCATCTTAATTAAAGGTTCAATACAATTTAGGCTCCGGCTACATACATATTGATTAGCCTAAACATGTTTAACATTGTCTGCACTACAGTGTAAATGTCTATTTACTGTAGGTATTGAGCTCTGCTAATTAATTAATATTTACTCACATGGTTTAGTTTAGGACCACTTAATATATTTGTGCAGGATTAACCGTTGTTAGTACAGTATGTGCTGTCTTTAACAAAGACTATAAATATCATTTAAACTGTAAAATATAGTGTTATTAATCATTTTAATATGTTTCCTTTTTAAAATAAGACTATAAGGGCATACATACTGTACACTAGAAGTGAATATACCCCTAAAGTATAAGGTGTTTTAAGGCATTATTCTGAAAACCCATTGTTGGTTCATCCTGGTACTTGGTCACACTTTATTTTGATGGTCTATTTGTTGAATTTAGGTCAAATTGCATCTATATGCCAACTAATTCTCATTAGATTACAAGTAGACTGTTCGGTTGGGGTTAAGGTTAGTGTAAGTTAACATGTACTTGCAAAGTTTCTTATAGTCAGTTAGATGTCTGTTTAGCAGCAGTATCAACAGCAATTAAGGCAGTCTACTAATGCTCAAATGCACCATCAAAATACAGCGTTACCTGGTACTTTAATTTATTGAATGTAGGGCCATTTTGGGGTGATTTTAAAGCAAACTGCTCGCATTAATACATCTCATATTTGTATTATTTGAGGAGTAAAGTTGTTTAAATAATTTTTAATTATTTAAGGGTTTATACTGTAAGCAGTATTTGCAACCTTTATTTAACTACTAAATATGTACAGTGGGAGAAAAAAGTATTCAACACGTCATACTTTTTTCTGTAAAATAAAATATTCTAAAGAACCTGTTAACATGGAATTGAACCAGATTTCGGTAAAAACCCAAACAATACAAACATAAAAATAAAACAACAAAAAAATCTGGAAAAATTGTTTCAGTATGTGTAATAACAATGGAATGACACAAGTAGAAAGTACTAAATTACTGAAATGTATTTAATACTTTATATAAAAGACTTTTGTGGTGCTGGCAGCTGAAAGCAGCCTCTCATATGGAAAACAAATTCATATGCATTGCACAGGTGTGATTTCCTTTTCACAGACTTTGACATCTTGATGGTTCTGTGAGTCTCATCTATCAAATCTAATTTTATTTTGTATATTTTACTGGATTTGAGTCAGGTAATTGGCTGAGCCATTTTGCAGCTTGATTTTCTTTCTCTGAAAGCATTTGAGAGATTCCTTGGCTGTGTTTTGGATCATTGTCTTGCTGGAATGTCCACTTTGGTTTCATCTTCATCATCCTTGCAATGTAGAAGTTGGACTGAAGCAGCTAACATTTATTTACACTGATGAAAGGAAGAAGGTAGCTGAAGAACTGCTGAGAGATTTCTGTTGCCGTCTGGGCTTTCACTGCCTTTCTATACCTTCCTTTCTTTATATGTTCAATACTTATTTCCGGTGTCATTCTATTTTATTACACATAACTTCATTTGTAAACTAATTAATATTATTTTATTATTAACCAGGTTTATTAATAACATCTGGTGAAAATTTCAAGTCAACAGCACCTTTAGAAATATGTTTTCTAAGAAAAATGGTGAAGTCTTCAAAACTTATTTCCCCCACTGTACATGAGGCATTTACAGAACATACATTTTAAAGTGATGGGAGACGAAATATACTGCAAACTCAGATGTTCTCCCGACCCAAAGAATTATAACAATGTTATCCTCTCATGCAGCAAAAGTGTAGGTGCTGCAATAAAAAAGCTGCATGATAAAATATAGTAGCTGCAAGTTTCCTGCTGACATGTTGCAATACCCTTCTTTGGCATGTAAAGATTTATTTAACATGGCAACTGATATAAAAAATGAATTATTAAATGTTGATGCAGACTGGTGGTGTGTGTTATCAGTGCTTGTAAACGTGTTCAGTGCTTAAACCTGAATAGAAATATTTTCACTTATAGAAACAGAGAAACAAGAACACTGTGGTTAAAAAAACTAAAAGACTTAAGCAGTTTCATAAATGTAAATGATTACTCATCTCTTTGGGTCAGTGAATGTCCACTGCCAAAGATTTAATAGACACGTCTGAATCATTTTCATTTAGGAATAACATCCCACGGATGTATGGATCAAGATTGTGAACTTTTAATGATTATATGTCCAGCTCTAATCAAATATAATGCCAAAGATACTGTTGGTAAATGCTGCTTGACTTTAACTGCAACAAGAATATCCCTTAAGGGGTTTATTAATTATAAAAGTCAATTTTTTAGCTTATTAATTAGTATTAAGGTAATAAATGGGTTTAGTTATTAGGTAGGACTACGGATGTAAGATCATGCTGAATATGCAATTTATACAGCAAGTACCAATAAACATCCAATATCTTAATAACAGGCAGGTAATAAGCCACTATTTAATAGGGATACTTGATACTTGAACTAATGTGTTAAACCCATATTATTACACTGTATAACCCAACAGTCAACTTTATCAAATGAAATGAGTGTAGTTAAATCAAAATTGACTGACAGTTAATTCTACTCATTTAAAAAAGAGTTTTGAACTCAGTGTTAATAAGGCATATAAATGCCTCATTACTTCAACTTAAATGGAGTAAGTTCACAGTGCTCAAATAAATTAGTGTTTTTTTAAGTCAAATGGTTTGATGCAGTCTGTTTCCTTAAATGGTTTCAGTTGCCTTAACATATTGGGTTTTACAATAAAAAAGTTGGTTTGAGTTCTTTTAATTTATTGCCTTTTACTGTGCTCAAATTGCTTCATTTACTGAAATGCATTAAGTTCACAGTACTCATTAGGATTCGTTTTTGAACTTTAATGGTTTGTTGCAATCGGTTTCCTCAACAGTTTGAGTAACCTTAATTTTTTGGGTTTTACAGTGTAGTTTTCTAAAAGTTTATGTTTTAATTAAATAGGTCCTCATTCGCAAACAAAATCCAAACATTGGTTGAAGTCAGTTTGAAACTGTAGTTTCTTTTGGGTATCTCTTTTTATCCCTTTATAATTCAGAACAAAAATAAAATTATTTTGAGTTTATCATGTATATATAAATATTATTTATAAGCAAATCCCTCTGTAACATATTCTGAACAGATATATGAATAAAACAGCAGTTTTGTGCATGTACATGCAGCTAAAGTTCAGATTTAAGGCTCAGCGCAGGAGAAAAAAATTTTTTTTTTTAAAAACAACTGTTGAAAATATGTATAGTCATGGAAATCTACAGATTATCTACAGATATATATATATTTTTTTACATAAAAAACCCAAAAATAAAACCTCAAAACGAACAGGCGCATGCAATAACAGTGTTTATGCCTGCAGTGCCTGGCCTTAATACATCATGTAATGTTATCTTTATGCAACAACATGACATCTAATTTCTTGTAATCTACTGCTTCTTCTTTTGACAGATGAGAAGATCAGAAAAGCCTTTAGATATAGCACAGACGATGACCTCCTCTATGCACAAACACACAAGCGCACTGCCACATTCGCTCACTTCATTAGCCCAACGGGACGCCATGATGTAGTTAAAACAACAAACACAGAGACTGAGCTCTCTTGGGCTTTTATTTTTACATAAGTAATGATTAATGTCTGCCGCTCGTCTGCTGGAGTCTGCTCCTCTCTTTCCTCCTGGGGTTTATTTAACTTCAGACGCTCGCTTACAAAAACCATGTCAAGGTGGTCTCCTTAGAAACTAAAAATGGAGCCTACTGAGGTCGATCATTGAAAAAAAGCTTTTCAAATAAAGGAAGTGACTCACAGTACTCGATGCCCAGGACAATGTCTCTGAAGTAATGGCGGGCCTGGTCCTCGGAGAAGGGACTGTCGCTTGGAACCTCCATTACAGGCCTGGAAAAAAAATGGAGACACTTTATTGAGTTAACAGTAACACTTTACAATAGGAGTACATGAATACTGATGCATTCATATGTAAGCTAAACATTACTTTATTATGAATTAATGATGAGTAAATGCCGCTAAAACCTACTTGTGAAAGGCTATGCTTGTTGTATCAAAAATGTAACATATCAAATATACTGTAATATGTATAATGAGCTGTGTATGGTTAAAAGGTAAACACGTTCTCTTTTTGTTCGTCTCAATGAGTATAAATTTAACAGCAAAACAGCACAAAAATAACAGAAATATTGCTGCAAAGTTTGAAAAAAGTCACAGCAAAAATAAATCATTTTAGTCTGCAATAAAGAAGTTTTTCCTTCACAAATTCCAGAAGGGCCTGCATGGTTGAGCACTGAGCAGACAAAAAAAAAAAAAACACCTAGAGACAGGTACTGGTATTTTAACAGGTACAGCCTGGAGACTGCAGTTGATTGCCGGTTGACAAGCGGGAAAAAAAAGGCAGAGAAAAATAGCCATATTAATAGACAAATTCCATGAAATGATGTGATAAAAATGGTAGAGAAAAAAATATCTTGATAAATGGGACGTAAAAATGACCACCAAAAATGCCTGATATACTTCGACAACAAATATATACAACATCTGGAATGAACCTTTTAAAAAACCATGATATTCAAGATTTTCCATGACCAGTGGAAACCCTAAATACATTACAATCAATTCCAAAAGTTGAGTTCACAAATCAAATGTGTGACGACGTAACACTAGGCAACTCAGTTGTGCGACTGTGAGAGAACAGAGGATTCTGGGAAAGCAAAGGACTGCAGACACAGTGGATGGAAACAAACTGTGACTCTGAGATTTACATATAAACCAATCACAAAAACCACTTAGCACAAAACAAGGTCCTCAAAGGCCATTTCATTCATTACCCACAGGCAGTGAATCACGATTGAGCAGAAAGGCCAAACATATTCAGCCAGGTCTAGTGAAAATAGACCATTCTGTAATTATGCAAAGTAACTTCTAATCTGCTCTTTTCAAGGCAGAAGCTCGCAAACACCAGAGACGCCGAACAACACATTTCTCTCCAAAACAAAGCCCGGCCACTTGGCACAAACTCATAATCAACCAAAGTAAAATGTCACATTCGAAAAAAATATAATAAACTAGAAGACCGTTGCCCTTTAAATGAGCTTTTTGTGGGTTTAGAATGAGAGAAAGCAACAGAATAAATACATTCTCAAGTAAAGCTGAAAAAATTAATCGTTTGACATGACATTAAAAAAAACTATTTAATTACAAAAACCTAAAGAACTGATCTAGAAAATGAACTGAGAGACTGAGAAAGAGAGAACATAAGCATTTAATTGATCTCTTTGGAACAAGATCTAAATGACGACAGATACGCAAGAGAAGGCAGTCGATGAAGGAGGGATAAGGTGATTAATGGAACGACAGAGGATGGAAGATAACATCATGAAAGCATCAATTACGCACAAAAGATGACTAAGTGGACACGCTGAACACTCACCCTTTCTGCATCAGCTCAAACACTGCAGAGAAATCAGAAAGAAAGACTCATTAAAGCAAAACCATTGTGAATCCATTGTGAACAGGTATATTTGGGTATTGACAAATGTATTATCCGCTGCACTTTATGTAACACAATGTTCCCTGTTCTTATTTATGATGTCATCATATCCTCATATGACCCAGTTTGCGTTTTAGAAATTTGATGTGTGCTTTTATTCGCACCATTGCTTAGTGGTGTGAAGTCTTTCAGGATTTTCTTGGAGTCCATCAGCTCAAACGCTTTATATTCATTCCTACAGTATGAGTCAGTAGTGAGTCACACAGACTTGCATTTGAAACTGTTATTCTACAGAATCTCACTTCAGCCCATTAGGAAGACGGGCCGCACTGTTTGATCTGTTTGAAATGTATGCCATGCTCTGCTTTTCATTAAAAAAGTAAAGTTTGTAATGGAGGACCTCAGGGGTTTCAAACTGACTGAAATCTTGTGGTGCAAAGTGCAATGCAATAATCTGTTCTTGATACATTAAAGAGCTACTTCAACACATGATTTAAAGAGAGAGTTCACCTAAAAATCTAACTTCTTTCATCATTTACTGACTCTTGACTTGTTTCAAACCAATTGTAGTTATTTGTTCCGCTAAAGACAAAATAAGATATTTTGAAGAATGCTGGAAACCAATGACTTCCATAGTATTTATTTTTATACTATGGATATCAGTGGTTACAGGTTCCAAATATTCTTCAAAAACATCTTTTGGGTTCAACAGAAAAAAATTAAATAAAATACAAAGCTTTTGTAATTTTGTATATTTTAAAAGCCAATGTAATAAATCCTTGCTAAATAAAATTATTAAAAATACAACAGATATAATCAGTGTTTTAGACTAAGTGTCGCATTGACACAAAGATAATCAATCACGTGCTAGCTACAACAGTTTTTACACATACATTTAAAGTCAAAATTATTAGCCCCCCTTTGATTGTTTTTTCTTTTTTTAAATATTTCCCAAATATCTTTAACAGAGTTATGATCTTTAACACATTTTTACAGTATGTGTGATAATATTTTTTCTTCTGGAGAAAGTCCTATTTGTTTTATTTCGACTAGAATAAAAGTCGAGTTTTAATTTTTTAAAAACTATTTTAAAAACAAAATCATTAGCCCCTTTAAGCCATATTTTTTCTAAAGAACAAACCATCCCTATACAATAACTTGCCTAATTACCCTAACCTGCTCAGTTAACCTAATTCAACTAGTTAACGCTTTAATTGTCACTTTAAGCTGTATAGAAGTGTCTTGAAAAATATCTAGTCAAATATTATTTATTGTCATCATGGCAAAGATAAAATAAAAAAAGCATACCCATATGAAGGTTGTCCTCTGCTGGGTCATCCAGTACCTGAAAAAAGAAAGTTTATTAAAACACCATTTGCTGCACTCACTGTATAATGATACTGCACAGTCACTTTTTTACAATATGGGCACACTAAAAGGCATTAAATAATGCATAACTAATGCACAGGTAATCTTGAATTAATGTATGACTCATAAAGAGTGATTACTGCATCGGCAGCAACTGAACAATCTATATGATTCATAGCTTAAGTAATCAGTATATTATTATTATTAGTCAAATGTGCCACAATCTATTAATTTCCTCTTATTTTCAAATTATCAGCTCTATAATCTAAATGCATGGTCTAAATCAGGGGTTCTCAAACTTTTTAGCCTGCAACCACTAAATTAATAACTCCAGTGACTCGTGACCCCCCATTATGCTCAAAGGTGGTTATAAACATACAAATATTGTACACAATGGTGCACAAACACCAACAGGAACTACCTGTATAGTATATAAACACAAGCATATTAACAACACATTGCAGGGGTCTAACAAACAAATAATTTTTATAACCATTATTCATTGTTTCACTTAATATGAATGAGAATAATATTAATATTAATAATTTAATATTTTTAATTAATAATAATTTTATATGAATAAAAATTAATCACTTAATGAGAAAGGTTGGCACAATGTTTACAGCACAAGACTATTCTTGTTATAATTATGAAGATTATCCTCCATGTTCAGTCGTGGGATTTATTTTTTATTTATGTGAGTGCCATAGGATTGTCAAAGTTTAACATTGTGCCGTAAAACAAATCTGCTGCAATTACAGCTTTTGCTTTGACGTTAATCTTGCATAATAACCACAGGGGTGGCAATCCAATAAAAAAAAAATTGATAGGCTGATGGCTTTTTATTTGCATGGTGTTTTTTTTGTTACTATTAAATATTAAGTATGTATTAAATATATCATAAGGTAAAAACAAGTTTTATCTTCTGTAGGTTATGGATAAAATATAGTAATCCTAATAGTTTAAAAACATAAATGAGACTTTGCTATTTTAGGGATGGGAAAAAATGGATGTGCTCTGGTCATATTATGCATTAAACATGCTGGATTCCACCAAAGCCCAATGAGATGAAGACGACACGAGAGTTGTTAGTGGTGACTGAGTCCTTGTCTTCTGGCATTGCAAGAATGCCTGTAAAATCTTTGTGCGCTGCTGCGCATCCCTGTCTGTGCAATAAGAAATGCATACGTGTTGCGAACCTTCCTATAGGCGCATATGGCTAACATGCTCTTTAAATAACCACAAAAATAATATTGCATATTTACTTTAGACCAGCGTTTAGTTGGTCAATTGCATTCTCTTTTTCAGTTGCCTCAAAATAGCAGCACAGCAACAATTCACCTCCATTACAGATCAGCACACCTATGGGTGCACAAATGGGTGCGAATGCATTTGTTATCCAAACAATATGACACTGGATGGAAAATTATACCTATGCCTGGCTGAAACTACATAAGACAGTCAAGATCTTAGTAGAGTGTCAGCTAGTTATAAACCAGTGTGTGCAAATATGATACGACAGAAAAACTAACACCATTGACGAGTAAGTCACTCCGAACCTGCAAGAAAAAGTTGCTTATTACTGGAAAACCTTGACAAAAAAGATACACTCAATCTGAAAACAGCCAAGCTCCTGGCACAGGCCTCTACTTTTAGTTTTACACGAGTGATGAGATTCGATAAGCATCGGGTGCAGCTCATCCTTCACTGCCAGCAGAGCTCCATTTCTGTTTCCTGTATTAAGGCTATACTTGATCTGGCAGCCGGAGAGCCGAGGAGATTGGAGTGTAGGTGGTTCCTCTTCCTCACTTTCTAAGTTTCCTTTAAACATTTTTCATGCTCGGACTGAATGTCTCTCTTCCATGCACCCTCTCAGCCCTCTTTTCTAATTTTGCTGACGTACGTGGGAGACGCTGTGATTGAAGAGCACTCAGACAGAAAAAGAAAGATCATTTTTTTTCTTTCAGCATCCCTCCTTTCTACCTTGCTTTTCTTCATCCGGCCATCGATTGCACTCCTCCTCTCCCCACCCCATTCTGAGAGCACCGAGGGCATCTCTGTTCAACAGATTTACTCCTGGCTGATTTTCAGCATTGCTATAATTTCATCCTCTCTAGTCTGTAATTCGGCTTGGTTCTTGAGGGTCTAAATCAGTTAAATTCAGTTCCCATTTATATTTCCTCTCCATTTGTTTTTAGTGTCTTTGCAATTCTAATCTAATGTTTTCATCTGACTGCATCCAAGACCCAGAGTCTCCAAATATAACTAATATATATGTTAGTTCAACCGAAGGGTGGGAAATCAACTTATTTGCTTCTGATCTGTGACTTTTACGCACTCTGTTTTGGACACCTCTCTTCCTGTTCGTCATGCAATATCTCAGTCACTGATTGGCTTATCAAGGCTCGCGATACATCAGCGTAAAGCCGAGAATCTCACCTTTGTGATATTTAATACATCTGGATAGGTTAAAGCTATCATATTTTCCTGAATTTTGGAATATTATGACCCTAATTTGTTTCGTTTGGCACTTACAAAACACAGCAGGGGGTTACTGACACATCCTCAGAAAACGCTGAAAATGGACTCATTTTGCAGAGGACAACCTAACGTAAAAGATGATGTAGCTTGTTTGGCTATCTGTGCTATCTCCGGCAGCTCACGGAGCAAATAATCAATAATTTCCCTTGTATGTTTCCAAAAAATGAATTTATACTTTATGATTCATTCGAAGACTGTTGGATATGTGATTGTAAATAAAAGTGTAAATAACTTTGTTACTGTACAGCAAATATCAAAGTGATGTGTATCAGTTGAAAATAGACATTCTAAGCTTTCACCCAGTAGGTCATATGGTGTTATTGATGCAGACAGACCTCTTAAATCTATAGTTATTCTCCCGATGATGTCATTTTGTCCCCGGTACCGAGCACGCAGAGTTTAACTGGTTAATCAATAAAGTAATAATAAATTCAGAAAAATATTCTGAAGTAAAAAAGAAAGAAAATAAAAGTAATAAAATAAATAAACAAAATAAAATAAATAAATAATAACATAAATAAATAAATAAATAAATAAATTAAATTAATAAAAGAAAGAAAGAAAATAAACGTAATAAAAAATAAATAAAGGAAATAAAATAAATAAATACATAATAAAATAAATAAAGAAATAAAAGAAAGAAAGATGAAGTAATAAAATAAATAAAGGAAATAAAATACATATGCTATAAATAAAAGTAATAAAGAAAGTAAAGAAAGAAAAGAAAATTAATAAAAGAATCAAATAAAATAAACATATAAATAAATAATAAATAAAAGAAAGAAAAGAAAGAAAGAAAGAAAAAAATAAAAGTAATAAATAAATAAAATAAAATAAATAAATACTAAAAAAAAATAAAAGTAATAAAATAGATAAAAGTAACAAATACACTACATAAATAAATAATAAAATAAATTAATTAATTAATTAATAAAAGAAAGAAATAAAAAGTAATAAATAAAAAATAACATAGATAATAAAATAAATAAAGAAAAGAAAGAAAAGAAAGAAAAGAAAGAAAAGAAAAGTAATAAAATAAATAAAGGAAATAAAAAAATAATAATAAAATGAATAAATAAAATAAATAAAATTAAAGAAATAAAGAAAGAAAAAAAAGAAAAAAAAGAAAATAAAAGCAATAAAATAAACAAATTAATATATAATAAATAAAAGAAAGAAAAGAAAGAAAGAAAATAAAAGTAATAAAATAAATAAAGGAAACAAAAAATAATAAAATGATAAATAAAATAAATTAAATTAAATTAATAAATAAATAAAAGAAAGAAAGAAAAGAAAAAAAAAGAAAAGAAAAGCATTAAATAAACAAATATATAATAAATAAAAGAAATTCAAGAAAGCAAGAAAGAAAGTTATAAATAACAAATAACAAATAAAATAAATAAAGAAATAAATAATAAATATAGAACAGAAAAGTAATAAAATAAATAAAAGTTACAAATAAAATAAATAAATAATCAAATAAATAAATAAATAAATAAATAAATTAATTGATAAATTAATAAAAGAAAGAAAATAAAGACGATAAAAGTAATAAAACAAATAAAGAAAGAAAATAAATAAATAAGATAAATAAATAATAAATAAAAGAAAGAAAGAAAGAAATAAATAAAGAAAGAAAGAAAGAAAGAAAGAAAGAAAGAAAGAAAGAAAGAAGGAAAGCTTGTTTATTCAGAAAGAGTCTTAAAAGTAACGTTTCAATGGATGAACGGAAAGAAAAAGAGAAGTAGGCTCAAAGAAACTATATTTTAGATTTGCTACTATGAACGTGTTATTAACTGGCACTAGTCATTAGCTGAGGATTATAATAATGAATGAAATAAACTGAATTTCATTTTACCTCAACAAGTTTAACTATGTTCAGATGGTCCAGTTTTTTCAGGATTGCAATCTCCTGGTAAACTCTCTCCAGAGGACCGAGCACTTTAGGCTGCTCCCCCTGGGCAGCTTTAGGACCTCTGGGAGGAGGACGTCCTGCACGGGGAAAGAATGACATTTAAATGGCATTAAAATTAACTGAAAATACTGCTTCAGTTAAACAGAGAAATGCTTCAGCATCTGCTCCAAAAGGACAACATCTGCTAAGCATAACATCTGCATGCATTAGAATTTAATTTGAAGCCATACATACTGGGAAATCCATACTGCTTCATCAGCTTCTTCTTAGATACAACTTTCATTGCCTGCAAAACAAGACAAGATTCAATAAGACAAATCTTACCAAGATTACACAAGTCTGATCTAAGCGAACTAGCTTATTTCCACTGCCCTGAGCATATCAAACGACATAATCAACAGATTTTTTTTCATCTACATACTAATCAAACAAAGCTTTAAGAGAGTTCAATCAACGACACTCGAGATTCCTCTCACAGCAGTGCTCCTGCATAGGTGATTGCTAAAGTCAATGTGGAAATGTGGTCACAAACAGTGACTGACAGACTATAAGAAGCTTACAAATCCAAGAGCTTGTGGAGTACATGTGATTTATTTTTACACTTTTTGGGGGGTAACACTTTACGTTCATAAGACTATGATTAAACATTTATGATCATGACATCACGAAAATGAATGAGATTCTACACATGCATATGAAATAAAAGGTTCTATTTTTAACAATCTAGGCGCAAAGTCTAAAGCCCAAGGCGCAAAAGCATTAAGACCATGTCCGAATTCACTTTTGATGTTATAAGGATGGAAAAATACGGTATAACAGGGTTGTGCTTATTCTCTTAACGAGTTATGGATTTGTTTTGAGCATAACGTGCATTAAACCAATCGGAGTGTCATCTCAGATTTCCTTTAAGAGTCAAATGCGTCACACCATGGCGCATTTGCTATTTACATGGCGGACTTTGTAAAAAGAAAAACTAAATGCTTCTCTATCGAGAAAACGGTTAAACAGACCATCTGCAGCATGAGGATAAAGAACGAGCCTCCTCCATTCGGCCTCTTTACTTTCTCTTTACTTTTACTCTTTACTTTTGTGGATAAGGAAACCGTGTTGTACACACTCCACTGAAGACATCCCTTAGCCTACATATTTAATTTAAATTGTTAAGTACAAAGATTTGTTTCAAAACTATTTCTAAATTCAGTTCTAATTTCCAGTAAAAAAAATAAATGAACAATAATAACAAAGTGTGGTCAAAAAACTGAGTTATATCCAAACACTCATCCTATTCTTATGCCCCATATGGTGATGCTTACATCTCCAAATCCCGACAGGTAGACAAATCTACACTTGTTTTTTAAAACAAATATAAATATGCACATAATAAATAATACTGCTAATAACAACCCAGGTTCATTGTGGAAACGTAGCAACGCGGACGTTTCTGGAGACCGCAAAATACGTCCCTGGAGGTACGTATTTGTGCAGTTATTGTTTTCGCGAATCCCATGCATTCGCGGCCACACTGTTCTCACGTAAAAAGCGACCAGAGGCTGTTGTCAAGCGACCGTGTGTCTGACTGACTGACTGAATGTCTGAACGATTGACTGGGCGGCCGGCCAATTGGCTGACCCAGCCACCCTCTTTCTCCTCCTTCCCTAAACCCAAGCAATGATTTACAAAAGCCGTTCAGAAAAAAGAAAAGCCCTCATCTGATTTTGGCCACGTTTTCGGATTTCACTGCATTCTCGCCACATGAACTCGTTCACTTTATTTTTTGGATTTTGCTATTTCAACAATGTAGAGCGTAATGTGTAAGTTAGGGTTTCACTGGTCTGGGTGGCTTCATACCAAAAATGTCTTGCTCATTATTGCTCCAGATGTATGATAGGGTCCTAAGGGTCATTAATTCAGTTATGTCATTTTAAATGCAAAGGTGACATTACTTTACTGGTTCTGTATTGACATAGACAAATACATCATAACCGTTTTTTTTTTTTTGTCTTTTCCTTAATAAATAAATATCAAGACAACATGACTTAAACATGATTGTCAAGAAGCCAACATAATTGTCATAAATTATATAACAGCACCTGTTATGTTTCAGAACGTAAAAATTTTTTGTAATTATAATTATTATAATTATAAATACGGCAACATGGTGGCGCAGTAGGTAGTACCTCACAGTAAGAAGGTTGCTGGTTCTAGCCTCGGCTGGGTCAGTTGGCGTTTCTGTGTGGAGTTTGCATGTTCTCCCCGCATTCGTGTGGGTTTCCTCCGGGTGCTCCAGATATATTGTTTATGCATCTAGAGCTGATGGAGCATGCGCAGGTTTTTTTCTCTCTCTCTCCCTCTCTAGAGCTGCGCTTGATTGGGGCCCAGGTCCAGCTGTGTAGCGAGCGGGAGCGTATATAAGCGGAGATGAGGAACAAAGGATGAATCTTCTGCTCGGTGCAGGTCGCAAAGCTCTGCGGCTGCTGTTGTTCTGAGGAGCTCCTATCTCCTGCCCCAGACTATTTGTTGCATAAGTGTGGTGTGGTTGACTGATTTCGTTAGCTGAAAAGTCTTTATTTCTTTTCTAACTGCTCGCTGTATTTTAATCTGAGCCTATGTGCTTTGTTTTCACTTATATTAAAACTATATTATTTTTGGATAATTGAAGCAGTAGGTTGGAAATCGTCACTTATTTTAAAATCCGGCCTTCTCCTAGTTTGTGGCAGTGAGGGAGAAAGGGAAGTTTTGTTGTAATTTTATTTGGGGTTCTTTATTTTTAGCAGGTAATTTAGAATTATTTCCAAATAAGTTTGCTGTATTTTTCTTTGTTAGACAAAGAGATGCTTCCAAGATCTTTATTGTTAAACATAAACCTTGTTATTCCTTGATAAACTGGTTGTGATTATTGTGAGCTGGGACAGGAGAAGGGGAAAGCCTTATATTTGTCATCTAAAAGTTTAATTTGTACTTTTGTTATTGTACGCGGGACGTAACACGCCAATAATATTGTTCTTGACATTAACAGGTGGTACAAACTGAAATGTCATTGAATATTGATGATGTTGTTATAAAATGATTTACCAGTGTGTTGACATTATTAATGAGAAACTTTAATGACAAATTAAATTCATTCTATTGAAATATATCCATGACAATTCTAACAGTCTCATGACAATCCCATTTATCAAAGATTTATCAAGTCATGTTGTCTTGGTAGGTCAAGGATGTTACAGATTGTGATGTATTTGTTTATGCCAAGTTTTTATAAAGACATCTCACACATGACATAAAATGACATAACTGAGCAATTGACACTTAAAGGCAATTTATGTTCATAAGCATGCATAAAACCTTTCATATTCATGATATGTGAAATGTAGTGATTATAAAGTCATGTCAGTCTTATGAACACTCCATCAAGTAAAGTGTTGTCTTTTTTCTGGAGAAAAAAAAACAACATATCCAATCGCCGATGCTCAGATCAGATGTCTTTATGTGCAATTCAAATGTTAATCAGATAAATTGCTTTAGCGCACAGGGTTTTTTTAAAACTTGTACTTCCATGGAAACACGTATTCAGTCATCTGCATGTTTTTTTTTTTTACAACGATAGATGTCCATTGCAGAAGAATTGTGCACCTGTGTCTTTTTTATCGGGATGAAAGGATCAGACATGCATACAGCACGCAAACAGAAAATTTGGAGTCTTATGTAATGCGGAGAGTGCTTTGTCTGAACCTCTGCCACTTTTGCTCATTACAGTCAGAGAATGGCAGTGCTACAGGCTGCCAGTTTCTAGCACCTGCGTAAAACATGAGGTTTCATAATGAGCAAGTGTCTGATAACTTCAGAATTTATCCTCGAGTTTTTCATGACACGTTCACATACAGTCAAGGAGAGAAATTCAAAGCCTGTTGAATCCCCGTGGTCGGTTTCATTAATTGCTCATGCTACAAAAATCCAGAATGACAAAATCACAATGAGCCTTCATCTTAAAACTGAAAGCGCACACAATATTACACATAAATCAAGACATTCAGTAATGCGAAAGTGTTTTTCTCGTCTCTCTCAAGGACAGCTGGAGGAGGGCCATGTCTGCAATGCTGACGAGTTTAAATAACTCAGTTCGTCGAGAAGTGAAGAGGAAAACATGAATGTTTTATGAACATGTCAGAGGTGGGCGCGATGAAACAAAATTGCTATTTAGAATGCAGTGGATACAAAATGAACTGAAGCCTCAGAATATAAACAACTGGGGAACTATGAGATGAATCAGTAAGCAAGCAATACCCAAACACTGTTTGTTATATGGGGAGATGGAGATATATTTCCTGTATACTGTAGTCCACATTTAAAAATGACAAAACAATATTTAAAAAATATAATATTTTTTTATTATACTGTTTGATCGAGTACAGTAAATGCAGCCTTGAACATTAGAGACATTAAAGGGATGGTTCATTCAAAAATAAAAAATGTACATTTCATTTTCTCACTCTCACATCAACTTCTTTCTTCAATGGAACATTAAAAAAACACTTCACTTTTTGGAATTAGGCTAATTTTACAACTCCCTCACAGTTAAATAGTAATCTTTGCCCTCTTCTGTTAAAAAAATGTATTGCAATTCGTTCAACAATTCTACCGGTTTGAACAGTCACATATTTAAATCGATTATCAACTGACTCACGGTGAATCGTTACATTCCCATTGATCAGTAAGTAGAGGTCTTTGGAAACCTGATATATTCATTTTATTATAAATATTTCATATGTGTATTTTAATACAATGTGGAAGGCTGCATTTACTTGGTCAAACAGTTCAAAATAGCAATTTTTGCTGCTCAAAATGAAAACAAAAAAAGAATGAAAAACATTAAACAAACAAAAAATCTTTTTATTTTATTGCAACTACAGCATAATGTACCAGAGATGACTGAATGTTGCAAAGGAGGGAAATTAAAACAAAATTTTAACAGGAGTATGACTGAAAGAGCAGGGCAAGAGAACACGCAGAGAAAAATGAAGGACAAGTTTTAATTTCAGAATCCTCTCTACCTATAAAGAGTATGTGAACGTGTGTTGCTTGCCAGAGCACTATTAGCCTGCGCACAGGTCTGTGAGGCCAGTGGAGTGTAAAGGCCAGAAATGAGGCCAGTCTCACTCTACTCTGCCTTTATGAAGGGATTTGATCTCTGTCCTCTATTCATCCTTGCTGTTACAAATCCACACAGCATGAATTAATGAATGGAGCTGGGAAGCGGGAGCTGTATTTTGCTTTCAGACACACTGTTTA